CCAGCACGACCTTACCACAGCACGACCACACCCCAGCACGACCACGCCCCAGCACGACCACGCCCCAGCACGACCACGCCCCAGCACGACCACGCCCCAGCACGACCACCCCCCAGCACGACCACCCCCAGCACGACCACCCCCCAGCACGACCACCCCCCAGCACGACCACACCCCAGCACGACCACTCCCCAGCACGACCACACCGCCTTGGTTGAGTGGTTGCCTGTCGTCGTGGAATGTTTCGTGGGGTGTCTCTTGGAATGTTTCGCGGGGTGTCTCGTGAAATGTTTCGTGAGGTGTCTCGTGGAATGTTTCGTGAGGTGTCTCGTGGGCTGTTTCGTGAGGTGTCTAGTGGGATGTTTCGTGAGGTGTTGCCCAGTTGGGTATCATGAAAACGTGTCCATGCTCCACATGTCTATATCCCTTTCCGGGTTCGTGGGTCCATCATGTTGGACCCTGACCCCGCCGATCTGCGTGAGGGGTGGCACGGAATTCCTGAAATGTGGCAAATCACCTGTGTTTTCGGATCCTGACCCCGCCGACCTGCGTGAGGGGTGGCACCGAATTTCAGAAATGTGGCAAGTCCCATGTGTTTTCGGACCTTGACTTCGCCCAGGAGGGCCCAGGAGGCTCCAGGAGAGCCCAGGAGAGCCCAGGAGGGCCCAGGAGAGCCCAGGAGGGCCCAGGAGGACCCAGGAGGCTCCAAGAGGCACCAGGGGGCCCAAGGAGGGCCCAGGAGAAGCTCCAGGAGGCTCCAGGAGAGCCCAGGAGGGCCCAAGAGGTCCAAGGAAGACCCAGGAGGGCCCAGGAGCCCTTACGAGGGATCGTGGCCCTGGGAGCGCTGACGTAGCGTAATTTACGAGGGATCGTGGCCCTGGGAGCGCGGGTGTAGTGTAATTTCATGCTCAGGCCACCCAGGGAGATCTCTAACATGATTGTCCCGAGCTGGAACCGCGTGTTTGTACGTGTCCAGGCCACCTTGGGGATATCTTTCATGGTTGTCCCGAGCTGGCACCGTGTTTTTACGTGTCCAGGCCACCAACACGACGCTTATCCCCAGCACGTTCTGTAGCGCGTCCCCTTGGCACGTCCCGCGGTGCGTCCCCGTGGCACGTCCCCTGGCACGTCGCCTGGCGCGTCCCTTGGAACGTTCCGCGGCGCGTCTTCCTGGCATGTTTCCTTGTCAATTAGCTCTGGGGCAGCTACTACGTGGACTATGTGCTCAGGCAGCTCGAGCTTAAGATCCAGATCAGTTCGGTCAGGACTCGGATGCAAAGGAGGACTCGATCCACAACGCTATAGAGCACAATCGTGGCATGGCACATCGCAGTTCAGCGCGGCGCAGCACCGCACAGCCCTCGGCACGGTACATCAAGATCGATAAACCCAGCATTGCAATTTGGCACGTTCCGTGGCGCGTCCTGTGGCGAGTTCCCCTGGCACGTCGCGCGGCGCGTCCCCTGGCACGTCCCGTGGCACGTCCATTGGCACGTTCCGTGGCGCGTCCCCTTGGCACGTCCCACGGTGCGTCCCCGTGGCACGTCCCCTGGCACCTCGCTTGGTGCGTCCCTTGGCACGTCCCGTGGCACGTCCATTGGCACGTTCCGTAGCGCGTCCCCTTGGCACGTCCCGAGGTGCGTCCCCATGGCACGTCCCCTGGCACGTCGCCTGGCGCGTCCCTTGGGACGTTCTGCGGCGCGTCCTCCTGGCAGGTTCCCCTGTCAATCAGCTCTGGGGCAGCTACTAGTTATGTGCTTAGGCAGCTCGAGCTTAAGATCCAGATCAGTTTGGTCAGGACTCGGATGCAAAGGAGGACTCGATCCACAACGCTATAGAGCACAATCGTGGCATGGCACATCGCAGTTCAGCGCGGCGCAGCACCGCACAGCCCTCGGCACGGTACATCAAGATCGATACAATAAGCATTGCATTTGCCCGTCGCCCAATCAGTTTTGTCTTTGAAACGTTGCCATGTCTTACATTCACAGATTCCTTTCCGGGTTCGTGGGTCGATCATGTTTTTGTAAGGGACTGTGTTTTGGGCTGCGCAGATTTTGGAAGCAGCCATGGGGTCTCGTCCAGTCGTTGCGCTGCGGGTAGCGCAGACTCTTGGCTGCGAGCATACGATCCCGTCCATCCGTTGCATGCGAGGACGCGAGGATGATTGGATGCGCCCACGCGGTCCCGCCCATGCGTTGCACACAGGGCTGTGAGGAATCAAGTGCTAGCAAAAGGTCCTTGTTCACCTCGCTGCGTGCGAGGACTCTGGCACTAATTGGTGCTCCGTAAGGTTATGCCCATGCGCTGCGAGCGAGTTTGTGATGATTTGTCGTATTGCAGATGCGAGGTCCCGCAAACGCGGCGTTGCGCGTCAGGGTGCGCGGAGTCTTGGGCGCGGTCACAATGGTCCCAGTCGTCCTGGTCGGCCTGAACAGCCTTCCGCCAGTTGAGGCTTGCTGGGGTCACTTGCAGTCAAGACGTTGAAGTATGGCGATTTTTCCCGGAAAGGGCGTAGGCCCAGGGTTCTCTTTTAGATGGATTACCCCCTGGTTTTTACTTGAAGGGGGCCGGCGAATTTCTTGTGCGATAAATTACGAGGTCGAAGGGGGCCGGCGAATTAAACTTGTGAGGACGAAGGCCATTTTTCGCCACCCCTCACGCAGATCGTGCTCTTGGAATTTTACTGCCTTTAAGGGAACCATGATATTTCACAGGTGAAGTTCACTTTTTTCCGAAATCGACTTTAAACTATAAAAAACCAGGTAAACGCGTTCGCTCGATAAATAACGAGGTGCTGCGGCCTCTGGAACGGCGCTGGTAACGGAGTTTGGGATTCTTGAAGTTGCATAAGTTCGGAAATAGCAGAAATCCCATGTGTTTTTGGACCCTGACCCCGCGGATCTGCGTAAGGGGTGGCGCCGAATTTCAGAAATGTGGCAAATCCTATGTGTTTTTGGACCCTGACCCCGCGGATCTGCGTGAGGGGTGGCACCGAATTTCAGAAATGTGGCAAATCCCTTGTGTTTTTGGACCCTGACCCCGCGGATCTGCGTGAGGGGTGGCACCGAATTCCAGAAATGTGGCAAATCCCATGTGTTTTTGGACCCTGACCCCGCGGATCTGCGTGAGGGGTGGCACCGAATTTCAGAAATGTGGCAAATCCCTTGTGTTTTTGGACCCTGACCCCGCGGATCTGCGTGAGGGGTGGCACCGAATTTCAGAAATGTGGCAAATCCCATGTGTTTTTGGACCCTGACCCCGCGGATCTGCGTGAGGGGTGGCACCGAATTTCAGAAATGTGGCAAATCCCATGTGTTTTTGGACCCTGACCCCGCGGATCTGCGTGAGGGGTGGCACCGAATTTCAGAAATGTGGCAAATCCCATGTGTTTTTGGACCCTGACCCCGCGGATCTGCGTGAGGGGTGGCACCGAATTTCAGAAATGTGGCAAGTCCCATGTGTTTTCGGACCTTGACTTCGCCCAGGAGGGCCCAGGAGGCTCCAGGAGAGCCCAGGAGAGCCCAGGAGGGCCCAGGAGAGCCCAGGAGGGCCCAGGAGGACCCAGGAGGCTCCAAGAGGCACCAGGGGGCCCAAGGAGGGCCCAGGAGAAGCTCCAGGAGGCTCCAGGAGAGCCCAGGAGGGCCCAAGAGGTCCAAGGAAGACCCAGGAGGGCCCAGGAGCCCTTACGAGGGATCGTGGCCCTGGGAGCGCTGACGTGCCGTGGGGGGCCTCGTGGGGGGCCAGAATTCAAAGGATGTCTCAGGCAAAATGCTTGTTTTCACGTCCCGCTCGCAGGAATTCCGAGGATGTCTCGCGCGTGCCGCGTCCCGCGCGCAGGAATTTCGCGGATGTCTCGACTAATTCGTTTGTTTTGCCAGGATTTCCTTGGATTTTGGCAGGATGTCTCGAGCGAAACGCTTGTCCCCAGCACGTTCCGTAGCGCGTCCCCTTGGCACGTCCCGCGGTGCGTCCCCATGGCACGTCCCTTGGCACGTCGCTGGGCGCGTCCCTTGAGACGTTCCGCGGCGCGTCCTCCTGGCATGTCCCCCTGTCAATTAGCTCTGGGGCAGCTACTCTGTGTTCAGGCAGCTGGAGCTTAAGATCGAGATCAGCTCGGTCAGGACTCGGATGCAAAGAAGGACTCGATCCACGAGGCTATAGAGCACAATCGCGGCATGGCGCATCGCAATTCAGCACGGCGCAGCACAGCACAGCCCTCGGCACGGTACATCAAGATCGATACACTCAGCATTGCAACTTGGCACGTTCCTTGGCACGTTCCGTGGCGCGTCCCCTTGCGAGTCTCCCTTGCACGTCGCGTGGCGCGTCCCCTGGCACATCCCGTGGCACATCCATTGGCACGTTCCGTAGCGCGTCCCCTTGGCACGTCCCGCGGTGCGTCCCCATGGCACGTCCCCTGGCGCGTTGACTGGCGCGTCCCCTGGGACGTTTCGCGGCGCGTCCTCCTGACATGCTCCCCTGTCCATCAGCTCTGGGGCAGCTACTCTGTGTTCAGGCAGCTCGAGCTTAAGATCGAGATCAGTTCGGTCAGGACTCGGATGCAAAGGAGGACTCGATCCATGATGTTATAGAGCACATTCGCGGCATGGCACTTCGCAATTCAGCACGGTGTAGCACAGCACAGCCCTCGGCAGGGTACATCGAGATCGATACACTCAGCATTGCATTTGCCCGTCACCCAATCAGGTGTCTTTGAAAACGCTGCCATGTGTTACAGTTCTATATTCCTTTCCGGGTTCGTGGGTCGATCATGTTGGATCAAGACTCTGTTCCGGTGTTCGTGCTGTTCCTTAGATCTAAGTCGGGGAAGTTATTCGTGGCGAAGGCTCGCCTTGGCCAGACCAAAACATTCGATCCGTACTCAGCGTCCCCTGTGGTTTCACGTGGTTAGTAAGACTTTGTGCGTGATCAACCCCAAGTTTCGCCAATCTGTCGGGCGCGTATGTTTTGGATCCTCTGTTCTCCACCTTGCCCAGGTGAAGTACGACCTGATACACCACAAGCAGTTGGTGTCCGGTTTCGCAGACTTGTGTGCCGTCTCGAAGCGTTTAAATGACGTCATCGTCGTCACCTTAGCAGCTGCTGCGGTTTCGTGTGACGTTGTGTGCATTGGCCTTTCCCCAATGCCAGCGTACCACAGTCAGAGCATCCAGAACGTCCTGGCGAAGTTCGGACACAGTCGTCAATGTCTAGATTGAAGGATGTTGCGTGCTCTGCGAGAATGAGGTAAAGGATATTGTGTGTTCCCTTCGTTGTCTCGTGAATACGTTTTCCTCACGCCGCATACATACTGACAGTACATCCAGAGACGTTCAATTACCGCTTTGCTTTGCTCATTCCGCCAGTGTGCTCGTGCCGGGAACGGTAGGGCAGGCAGGACGGTCTTCGAGGAGATCTTTGGCGATGTGGCTCGCACCCTGTCGAAGAGAGCCGATAGAATGCCCCAGAAAGCGCCAAGATGGTTCGAGAGAGCTCCAGCAGAGTTTCTAGGCGTACATGGGTTGTGGGTCAAAGTCCTCATGGATGCTTCTTGTTGTCTTTTCGGAGGGAGCCTCTTGGGAGCAGTTTCTGCGGAGCCTCTTGGGGGCTTTTTGGGGGCTTCTTGGGGCTTCCCGGGGGCCTGTTGGGAGTATTGGGGGTCTCTTTTGGGGCCTCTTGGGGGCCTCTTGTGGCCTCTTGGGGGGCTCTTGGGGGCCTCTGGGGGCCTCTTGGGCGCCTCTTGGGGCCGAGAGCTCGAAATGTCTGTTGGGGTCCCCCGTCTGGGCCCGCTCTTGGAGCCGTCTTGGGAGCCTCTTCGGCTATTTTGGAGGCCTCTGGGGCTGTCTTGGAGCCCTCTGTAGCCGTTTCGGGCGCTCTTGGAGGCCTCTTGGGCCGTGTTGGGGCGATCTTGGAAGCTTTTTGGGCCGTTTCGGAGCGCCGGTTAGCCGAAAAGGCGAGAACGCCAAACGCCGTCAAACATTGAAGGCAAATCACAACTTTCTGCGTCTGTGGGCCCTCTTGGGAGGTCTCTTGGAGCCCTCTTGGGGCGTCTTGAAGGCGCTTCGGGCTGTCTGGACACCATCTTTGGCGTCTTGGGTCGCTGTTGGACCGTCTCGGACCATGTTGAGCTCTCTTGGAGGCCAATTGAAGCGCTCTTGGAAGCCTCCTTGGACCTGGCCGGGACCTTGTCGGGTACTTTTCGTCCGGGGACCCCCAGGGGCGGCCCCGCACGCGCGAAGTAGAAAGATTGTTAAGCAGTTACCGGAGATCTTAGCACGCCTTTGGCCCGTTGGGCAGGCGAATTGGCGCATCGTGTTCCAATATGGAGGCAAGGGGTCTCGACGCGTGGACTGTACTTACACAGCGCCTGCACACATGCGTGCCCGAGCGAGGCGCATCGGGTGTACTGCAATATGCGTACGTGTGCACGCCCCGTCGATCATGAGTGCAAATATCCGTAAGGGCTTCGCCCCTGCCGCCGCCCCCACCTCTCTCGGAGATTGTGGTATGCAAACCTATAGACAACTTAGATGTTGGCCTCCTGGGCCCCTCTTGGGGGTGCTCTTGGAGCGTTCTTGGGGGCCTCTTGGGAGCCCTTTTTTATGACGGACTCTGGCCTCGAAGGCGCGAGCAATGTGTATTTTACGAGGGTGTGTGAGTTCGGGGACGCGACGAACGTGTAATTTACAAGGGATCGTGGCTTCGGGTACGCAAATTGTATGTAGGTTTCAGGAGAGTATTGCCTCGGAGACGCGAATATGATTTAATTTGTAATGAACTGTGGTCTAGGAAGCGCGAACACCGTGTAATTTGCAAGGGTTGATGGCCTCGGGGACGCGAATACGTGTAATTTACAAAGGCTTATGGTCACGGGGGCGCAACTATGGATTCTGGCTTCGGGGGCGCGAGTGTTATGTATTTTTATGTGTCCCAGGACCTCCCAGAAATTTTGATAACCCCCCAAGATGATGGCAACCAGGGCCCTTAACGGCTCCTCCCCTCGCGCGGACTTCAACAATTCGCAAAAGGAAGCAGACCACCGAATTGTACAATCGGAGACCGGAAATTGGAACTGGAGCAGGGAGCAGGAAGCCTAAGCCTCGGAGCCTGATGTTCCCGCAAGGGGGCCGGCGGATTCCTGTGGCATGCGAGCGTATGTAAACTATCCAGGGTCTCCATGTCTTCAAAGGCTGACGTTGCCATGTCTCTCGCCAATCGCTGCGGCCAAGCACGCAGTGAGAGGTGGGGAGGGTACTGTGTCGACATACTGGGACAGAGTTGGGACGATCAGCCAAGTCTGCACGCCGCCTCCCATCCTCCTTATTGCTAGCTCTTGGCTCGGTCGTCACGGGGCGCCATAAGGTGACTTCGTGCGACATGCAACACCAAAAACATAGTGCCCACGCACCCGCCTCTTCTCGCCTTCCAGTCTGCCATCCTCCGAGCTTGTCCGCCTCTCCTTCCCGTCCGCTTTCCTCCGCGTTGTTCCTTCGGTTCCTCCGCCTTTACCTTCCCTGCATGTTCCACTCCGATCCGGTCCGATATCGACGGACGACGACGACGACGACGACTGCGACGACGACGACGACGACGACGACGACGACGACGACGACGGCGACGGCGACGGCGACGGCGACGGCGACGACGACGACGACGACGACGACGACGACGGCCTCGCCGCCGCCGCCAAACGGCGGACGGCGAACGACGGACGACGGACGACGGACGCCAGACGACGGATGACGGACGACGACGACGACAACGAAGAAGAAGAAGAAGAACACGACAAAGGCAAAGACAGAGCGACGAGCGACGACGACGACGATGACAGCGCCTCGCGAGACCGCCCGAGGTGCCCCGCGAGTACGGGCCCGACCAGCTCAACCGCGCTCGGATCGGCGGCATGGTCTGCCAGCGCCTGGTCTCGCGCCCTCGCCCAGCCCCCACTCCGGCGGGGGGGTGGCGCGGAAGCTCGAGGGGTAGGCGAGCAGGATAGAGGGGAGCGGCTCGCGGATAGAGGCGAGAGGCGAGCAGGACAAAGGCAAGCAGTATCAGCGGCGAGCAGGACAAACGCGAGAGGCATTGGGGAGGGCAGGGAGCGGCGAGCAGAACAGAGGTTCGAGGGAGGGGGGGCGGAGGGTCGAGGCTCGAGGTTCCGGGGCATCTTGGCAGGCAGGTTTCCGGTGTATTTCCACGCTTTGGGGCGTCCGAGAGGAGAGTGATGTTTGAGGGGGGGCTCAGGGCCAGGATCATTGAATCTCCCTGGAATTTACGGCCCTGCTTCTGTCGCTTCTTTCCAAGACTCCCTTGGCCCTTCCCTCGTCCGCGCACATGCCCTTGCCCATGTCCCCGGCCCCCCCCCCTCTTGAAGCCCACCTCTTAGACGCCCCGGCACGCTCTGGATGCGTTCCAGCAGCTGCGCCTCGCCGGGGGGGGGGCCAGAAATCGTCCCGAGCGGCCCCCGGGTGGCCCGAATGATGACCCGAACACCAGGTCACAGTCACGACGGCAGGCCGTCGCTCGCCCGAGGAACAGCAGTTGGGTCATGTGGGAAGCGGGTTGGGGTTTTGGCCATCTCCCGGCTCCCGCGGGGCCCTCCTTGGGCCCTGGGGTTCTCAAAGGACGGTTGATCCCGAGATTCCGGATGAGATTTGTCCCACCCCCCGCCGGGTCGATACTCGCCCTGGCCATTCGCGGCGACGTGGCCAAAGGGGTTCGGGCCAGCGAGTAAGGTAGAGGGGGGTATGTGAGGGAGGAAGGTGTCCGAGGCGGACGCGAGGATGCGGGGATAGGAGGAGGGTAGACGAGGATCGAGGAGGAGGAAAGGAGGAGGAGGAGGAGTTGGAGGAGGAGGAGGAGTTGGGAGGAGGAGGAGAAGGTAGGAGAGACGAAGGAGGGGTGATGAGTTGGGAGGAGGAGGAAGAGGAGGACAAGGGAGGGGGGATGAGGAGGGAGGATAATGACGAGGGGGGATTGGGCCGAGAGAAGCAAGAGCAGAAGAGGAGGAGGAGGAACTGAGATTATGAGGATGAGAGGTGGATAATTATAGAAGGGCCGTCCCGGGGCCGCCCAGACTTTTGCGAGGCCCATGCCCCTTCCGCCCGTTCAACTGCGATCAGGCTGCATGAGGACAGGGAAGAACAGGAGGAGGACGAGGAGGACGAAGACGAAGAGGTGGATTGGGACGACCATGGCGAGGAGAAGGACCATGACGAAGGAGATATGACGAGGAGGAAGAGACGACGGAGGACGATGAGGTCGGAGGGGTGGAGGAGGATGCCGTGTGTAATTAGGGAGGGAGGGGCATGGGGAGGGGGAGGGCGGGTGGTGGAGGGGGGGGGGGGGGGGGGCGGACGGGAAAAGCGAGGATGAGGGACGGCGAATGGAGAGGTGGGCGGCGGGTCGGGGGGAGGCAGGAGGGGAGCAGAAGTGGAAGGCCGAGGATGAGCGGCTTCGGGCGCGGCTCCTCGTCCCGCCCCCCCTTCCCTCGGGCGCTGCCTGCTCGTCCCCTCCTCCTCGCCCCTCCCCCCACGAGGCCATGCCCGATCGATGGGCCCTGCGCCTCCGTCCCCGCTTCGTCGTCCCCGCCTCGTCGCCCCCCTCCGCCTTCGCTCCCGCTCCGCCCCCGCCCCCCGCGCTCGTCATCCTGCTCGACGCCGCCGTCCCCTGCCTCGGCCTCCGCCGCCCTGCCCCCCCCCCGCCCTGCGCCTGCCTCTGCCCGTGCCCTGCCTCTTCGCCAGCCCGCCCTCTTCCCGTCCGCGGGCGTTCGATCGCGGGCCCCTTGCGAGACGCGGCCGGCCAGCGCTCGCGCCGAAGACCGTCAGAAGACCGCCCGAGGCCGACGGGCAACTCTGCGCCCGTGGGAAAACGGCGTCGCAGTCCCTCCCCGTCCCCCCCTCGGTTCGTAAGCTCCTGATCGACATGACGAACTGCCTGGTGACCCCTGCGACCGAGGACGGCCGCCTGCGCGCTGGCGCCCCCGCTTTTCCGCCCGCGCGCGGCGCGCGCGCGCGGCGCTCCCAATCTCCCTTCTCGGTGGTGGCCAAGACGGAGGGGGCGACTACGGGGGGGACCTCCTTGGCGGGGGCCATGAGATCTCCCCAGATTTCATGGCGCCTCTTATGTCACTGCGCATTACGCCCCCCCCCCCACCCCTGGGCCGCGCCGGCCATCATTGCGCCCCCCTCTTGGATGTCCCCCCTCGTGGACGCCCCCGACTTTGTGCGTGTGCCGCGCGTGCGGTGCTGTGACCGCGCGGTGCGCTCAACACGGGGTCTCGCCCTCGAGGGACCTCGGGAAGTCGGCTGCAGGTAAGAGAGATGCTCGTCTTCCGAGAGGGTTTTCGTCGTGGCCGTGGTCTTGGTCGTGGTCGTGGTCGTCGTGGTGGTGGTGGTGGTGGTGGTTGTCGTCGTCGTCGTCGGTTCCTGGACGCTGTCCTGCCTCTGGATGCGTTCCAGCAGCTGCGCCTCGCCGACAGGGCCTGCTTAGAAGCCCTCCTGGCTTTCCAGAAGGCGTCTTAGAAGCCTCCCGGCCCTCCGAAGAAGGCCTTTGCCTTCTAAGAAGCCCCTTGCCTTCTTCGAAGGCTACCCCCCTTGCGACACCTCCTGTGCGCGCCGCCAACCTGCGCATGACCGACTGACGCAAGCGGTGCTCGTCGGAAGCATGCGGCAGCATCGGGCGCTCTGGAGGCACGCAGGGTGCCCCCCTCTCGCCCCGGTTGGCCTCGCGCCTCTTGCGCATCTTGCTCACATGTCCGTCGATTCCTCCTCAATCTCACCCCTTGGCCCTCATTCTCATCCTTCTCTCGTCTCCTCTCCTCTTTCCTCTCTCTTCCCTTCGCCTCGTCGCGCCTCCTACCTCTTCCCTTGCCCTCCAGTGGAAGGCCTGCACCTCCAACCTCCCCCACCACCCTCCTCCTCCCTCCTCGTCCTCCCTCCTGCCTCCTCCCTTCTCATCCTCTTCATCCTCCCTTCCATTCTACCAATCTGCGGCTTCTTCGGCGACGTGGCGTGCAGCATAGTATTTTGCCACGTTGAGCGGACTTTCGAATCATGTTGCGGCGTGTGCATCGTCTTGATTTCGGCCTCTACACATGACAAGGTGTAGTCGCATACGCACGATACGTGGACGAGCTCTTGATGGCTTCCAGAATCTTGCGTCGGCATTTTCTGCTCGAGGCCGTCGACATCTACCCCACTGCGTTCGTCGCACCTCCTGATTCTCAGACCCTGCAGTGGCTAGAACTAAGCATTGATGCGCGCAGTCTTCATGTTGGTCGGGCTCCAAGGGCTTTCGGGACCCCCCCCGTCTTGGGCATGCTCTTTTCATGACATCCGAAGTGATCTGCTCGGTAGACTGTCTCGCTGCTCAGAGGTCAGGCTTGCTCCAATCGACGTGGTCCGACACATGCTCGTTATGTAAAATTCCCTCCGTCAGTGCGAATGGCGTGCGAAGTCGTTCAAATACGTGAGATGCTTCACGGGAGGGCTTCCAAAAACAGTCAAACATCGATGTGTCCATATATAGTATGTGTGATTTTCAGTATGATAGAATGACGGCTCACATTTAGCATGATGTATTTCTCAGATTGCGTTCGGTTGCCCACCTGTTTTCTGTTGGAGAGTTTCCCTTGTCAAACGCATGATGCACCCACCGCCATGGGCAGATCACGGATCAATCGTCCGCAGCCGTTCCGGGAGCAAGTGATGTTTTAGGATTTTTGCGATCGCAGCGAATGGTATGCCACAGGAGACGTTCAACCATTGGATCCGGTCTCAGATGTTGAATTAAAAACCATTTTGCATACCGCAGTCCCTCGTTCACAGACGTTGTGATTATTCTCAGCTTGTGATCTTAATGCACGGTCCTCCTCCCCCTGCTTTTCCACCTCCCCCTCCTCTCGATCCTCCTCCTGAACTGTCACCACAGGCATTTGGTGGCGAGGCTTGCATATCGGAATCTGGATTCTGGCGCCTGTCGGACTGGTCTAGGGAGTGAGCAAGGTGATCGAGGCGGCTAGCAAGGTCAAGTCTCACCAAGATGAGGGTGAGGTTGCGTCAGAGGATCGCCTGCCGTTTTTTATCCGCCAGCAGTGCGACCAGTCATCTAGAGCTGCCTTCCAGATGTACCTGTCGCTTGATTTGTCGCTGTGGCCAGAGCTCCAGCAACAAAAGCAGGATGCCGCCAGCATGTTGCATGTGAGACCAAATATTATTGGGCGTACGCTACACCGCCGACCCCTTGGGGAATTGGCGGTTGTTGCGTGTTGCTCCTGAGGGCCTCTTGTATATGTTTTTTTGTGTATGGAGTTTCTTGGAGCTCTTTTGGGGCTTCATGGGAGCCTCTTGGGGGCCTTTTCAGGGCCTCTTGGATTGGCATTATCAGCATTCGCTGTGCGCGCATGGGGATTAGGGCGAGAACCCACGCATACAGACGGAGGGCATCTGTCAACACACCCAACGAATGATCATCGAATGGCCTTCGGCACATCCCACCACAATGCTTGGGTTGCGGGTCTGAGGCCGCTCGGATGGTTGATGGGGTCTCATGGGAGGCGTCTCGGGGGCGTATTGGAGGCAGCGTTTCCGAACCCATCCCGCGTGGGGCATTCGTTGTGGATAGAACACTACCCGCGCGTTTTCTCCTTCTCCCGCCTGCGGAGGTAGGCCTCATCGGCCGAAGGCCGCTCCTCGGCAGCAGCGGCGGCCGTGCCAGTGTATCGTGAGTGGCGGCGAATCGCGCGCGCTTTCGTTCTCGGCCACCGCTGCCCGAACGGGACAGGAAAAAGAAACGGTGGTGTCATTGGTGCTGTCGTTGCCTCCCCTCCTTCATCGTTTTCTCGCCCTCCCCCCAATCCCCCATCCCGCCATCACATATCCCCCCTTCTATCGTCTCCAGTCGTAGCGGGAGCTCCCGCGGCAGAGAGCGCCCAGAACGAACCCTTCCGTGACAGCGGGGGCCCATCTTATTGCTTCTCGATGACAGAGGGGGGGGTTCGAACACCACATTCTGCACTGAATGCGGCTTTTGGATTAGGCGAGCGGTTGGGCGCGCTGCAATGGAGGAACGTGCCGTGGCTGTCTCTAATTCGCTAACGGCTCGAGGACCCCCCCCAGAGCTTACAGCATTAGACGCGCTAGGATAATCAGAGACACCCCCAGAACCCAATGGTCGAAGATCTTTTGTCTCTCTTGCCTAAGTTGGTGGAGCCATTTAGAACGTCACCCGGACAGTTGGCCCGCGATTGTTTCACGGACCCAGGGTTTCGAGCGGGTCTCCCAGCATCGGCAAGCGATGATTTTCCCGAGCCCCCAAACCTCCAAAATTCTAGACGCTTCGCGTATCCCCACCAGCCCATCCCGAAACGATGTCCAGGCGAGTTGAGGTGATCAGGGAAGTGCGGTAGCAAAGAGGAGGACGGCCGAACCGTGCAAAGGAGTGAGGAGGAGAAGGAGGAGGTGGATGGATGGATGGATGGATGAGGGAGTGGGAAGACGGAGGATGAATAGGATGAGGACGAGGCGGAGGAGGAGGAGGAGGATGAGGAGGAGGAGGAAGAGAAGGAGTAGGAGCAGGAAGGAGGAACCGGAGGAGGAGGAGGGCAAACACAAGGGCCAGAGGTCTCTTGGATGCCTCTAGGAGCCTCTTGGAGTATCTCTTGGGCGATTATTGGGGGCCTCTTGGGACGTTTTGGGTTTTTTTTGGCGATCCTGGGGGCTCTTCGGGGTCTTGGGTGCCTCGGGGGGGGGGCCTCTTGGGGCCTCTGAAGGTCTTCTCGGGGGCCTTCTGGGGGCCTCTTGGGGGCCTCTTGGGGCCATCTTGGGGCCATCTTGGGACCTCTTGGGGCCTCCTGGGCGCTTCTTTGTGCCATCTTGGAGGAGATCTATCAAAGAAGAGCTGAACTTTAATGATGGGTCCCCCCCGGAGGCCAAAATGGGGCCAACACCCTGCTAACATCAATGATTTTGGCTTCCTCGCCGAGGCTGTTTTGGACGCTCTGACCGTTCCCCGCCCCTCCTGTCCAGGTCAGTGGGGAGGGGGTAGGGGGAGGGGTAAACCCCTCCCCGAAGGGGAAGAGGGAGGGGTGGAAGAGGAAACGCCCTAAACCACCGACGCCCAGAGGGCTGGTGGGACTAACAGTATGTCTGCTAGAGGTCGACTAATTCGCTGGTACAAAATGGGCTGGACAACAACGTTAGGCCCCCAGTGCTCCAGAGACAAAACGGTGCTCTGGGAGCAATCGGGAAAGTTCCTCGGGTTAGTCCATATCAGAACGCTTGCGCCTTTGTAGTCTCTTGTGGTCCTCTCCCTCCTCCTCCCCCTCCTCGCGATCATTGTCGTGATCCTCCTTGCGCGTCTCCCCCCATCGTCTTCGCACTTCTGGTCTTCGTCCGTCCGCCTCGCCCTGCCCCCATCGCCCTTCCTACCCCTGTGTACCCCCCTTCCGAACCTACAACGTCGATCGGTACCCAAGTCTCCATCGATCTCCGATCCTCGGTCGGACCTCGATTTTCGACCCCCGACCGAACCCCCATCCGCAATCGACCCTCGATCTTCGATCGAGATTCGACCTTCGTCGAACCTCGATAGGTCCTGGGTCTTTCGCGGAACCTCGACCCTCGCTGCTCGATCCCCCGCCACCCTCGATCTTCGATCGAAACTCGATGTTCGATCGTCCTCCGCCTTGTTTTCGCCATCCCCCTCCCTCATGGTTTTTCTCTTTTCTACTCGCCATCCTTTTGCTCCCTCTCCTCCTGTTCGTCATCGTCCTTCCTTTTCCTCCCCATTCTGCTCCGCCTCCTCCCCCTCTTCCTCCTCCTCCTCCGCCTCCTCATCATCATCATCCTCCTCCTCCCCCTCCTGCTCCGCATTGCCATCCTCGTCATCCCCTGCCTCCCCTTCCCCCCTCATTTTTCTCCTCATCCTCATCCTCTTCCTCCTCCTCCTCCTCCTCCTCTTCCTCCTGGTCCTCATCCATATGTTCCTTTTTGTTGCTGCTGCTGCTCCTCCTTCCCCCCTTCCCCTCTTTTTCTTTCTCTTCATCCTCATCCTCGTCCTCATCCTCCATTTTTTCTCCTTCTCATCCTCGTCTTCGTGCTGTTCCTCCTGCTGTTGCTGCCGCTTCTCCTCCTCTTCCCCCTCCTCCTGCTCGCCCCCCTCGTGCCGGGACAACTGCGGAGGCAAGTGTTTGTCAAGTGGTTGATTCGTTTTCGAGGGGGTGAAACACCTCGCTCTGTTTTGGGTTTTTATATGAACCGTTGTGGGGCTTTCTTGAGTCGTCTTGGAACCACTGTGGAGGCCTCTTGCCCCGTCTTCGCCCACGAGGCGATTATGAAATGCGCGCTCTCCCAGGAGAATGGGGCGATTCTTGCTTGTGGAGGCCCTCTTGGGACGCCTCTTGGAGGCTTCGCGAGGCGTCTTGGGGGCCTCTTGGGCCGTCTGGAGGCCAGCGTGGGCGTTTTGGATCGACCTTTCAGCGACTCGTGGTCCTCGTTGACCACCCCTAGGGCCTCTTGGGGCCCTTTTGACATGTTTTGGGGGTCCTCTGACCTCCTGGTGCGTTCACCCGGATCCCGGGGGACCCCCCCCCACTCCGAATCGACCAGACCGGGTTCCCGGAGGAGGGGTTGGGGGTAAACATTTCACAATGCCGATGGATCCAAAGGTGTCGGCGAATTTTACGCAAAGGCGACGTCATCCGAGGAAGGGGAGAGCTCCCTGAAAGTTCGGAAATACGCTCAAGCTCGCGCTAGCGCGCGACTGGCAGCGAGCCGAACATGTATCCTCGAGGTCCTCGATCGATCCGTTTCACATGTAACAAGTTTACGATATCCATTCCGATGAAGCGGTGCAGAACCGAGTAAGCGAGCCGTGCACGCCGTATTCGGATGAGCTTAGAGAGCGGCTAAGGCAGGTGCACTCATCTCACTGCCCTTCCTCTGGCGTCTGTCCCGATGTCCTCCTCGTACTCTGTGCGAGGTGTGTCAACCTCGCCGCTTGAATGTTCAGACGCTTGCTGGAGAGGTGTAAAAGGCCCACCCACGAATGGCACGGGATACGCTGTGCGAAAGCGTTTGCTGGCAGGCCTCCATCTTGTCGACGGCTCCCCATTTGGACAACGTTTGTCATCATTTCCAAGCCTCTCAGCAGAAACAGTAAGGCCTCGAGCTCCAGAGGTTGAATGGTATTGAGGTCGCCGACCCAGCGCGGAGCTCCTTCTGCCCCCGAGTGAAAACAGATCCTCATCTGTCTTCCCTCCTCTCTCATCATCCCTTCTCCTCCTCCTCCTCTTTCCCTCCTCCCCTCTAGTCTCCTCCCTCGGACTCGCGGCGCCCCCCTCCCCCCTCCATCCAACTCTTTCCGGTCAGGAGCTGCCCCCCAGCAACCTCGTCACCGCCGAGGAGTTCCTCGCCCGCAAGGTCCCCCACCAGGAGATGGCAGCGGGGTGGGGCCCGGCTCGAGCTTTATGCCGCTTTGCGCCTGGTCGCGGAGACCAGCGGGGATGGGGGACGGGCCTCAGAGGAGGAAAAGATGCCGATGTCGCTACCCTGCCCTCGCCACCACGGCAGGATTCGCATTGAGATCTCGGTGAGAGTACATCCAATGAGATCTCCGTGGGGTAGCGGTAATGATAGTTCCCTACTTAGGCTCTGCCTAGAAAGGTTCTTACTCTCTTGGCTTAAAGGGCCGGGCAGTGGGAACTGGCCCGGGCGGTTCCCCCAGTATCCGCCCCGCGGTTCCCACAGTTACGTCCTTTTAGCTTAGCGTCGCCTGTCTCATCTTAGCTTAGCCTAGCTTAGCTTAGCCTAGCCTAGCCTAGCCTAGCTTAGCTTACCTTAACTCAGCTTAGCGCAGCGCAGCATTAGCATTATACTGTCATGTCATAGCATAGCGCAGCATATCATAACCTAGCATAGCGCAGCATAGCATAGCACATCATAGCTTAGTTTAGCATAGCACAGCGCAGCATAGCGCAGCATATCATATCGTAACATCGCATATCATCGCATAACATAGCATAGCGCAGCAGAGCGTAGCATAACATAGCATAGCGCAGCATAGCATAACATAGCATAGCGCCGCATACCATAGCATAGCATAGCATAGCACAGCATAGCATAGCATTGCATAGCCTAGCATAGCATAGCATAGCGCAGCATAGCACAGCGCAGCATTGCATAGCGCAGCATAGCATAGCGCCGCATAGCATAGCATAGCGTAGCATAGCGCAGCATAACAAAGCATATCATAATCTAGCATAGCATAGCGCAGCCTATCATACCCTAGCATAGCATAGCATAGCATAGCGAAGCATAGCGAAGCATAGCGCATTCTCGCGCAGCACAACATAACATAGCATGCCATAGCATATCATAGCGCAGCATAGCATATCATATCATAGCATAGCATCAAAGCGAAGGCAAAGCAACAACATCAACAGCAAAGCAAAGACAAACAACGCAAACTAAAGCGAAGCAAACACACAAGCAAAGCAAAGGAAAGGCAAAGCAAAAGCAATGTGCGACAGGTGCCGAGCTAGCCTTGATGTCTCGCTGTTGATGTTGATGTAGATGTAGATGCAGGTGTAGATGTTAATGTAGCTGTCGGTGTAGATGTAGATGTTGCTTTCCTAGATGCTCCATCTCCCATGTAGGGTCGCACTGGGATACTTATTTGTTCGTTTCCCGGGGGCCGTGGCAGGAAACAGGTGGGAGGGGCGGGGAAGGTGGAGGGGGAGGAGGAGAGGACGGAGGGGGGGAGGGGAAAGAGGGAGGGTGAGAAGAGGCAGTTAGAGGAAGAGGGAGGACGACGAGGGACAGGAGGACGAGGGAGAGGAAGGGGACGATGTGGCAGATGTGGCGGAGAATGAGACAGGATGGGTGCTGGAACCGGGCCGGTCGGAACAAAACACTTGCGAGGAGGATGTTTGTTGGGTTCCAGGGGAGAACGCTCGACGCGCGCTGCGTGGTGTTTCTTAGAGGGCCCGGGAACATTAGCCACCAGCAGTGCGCCGCGACCCACCCCCACGCCGCGGCCTGCGGGCGATCCAGGGGGGCCCGCCGCCCCTTTGCTCTCCGCCTCTCGGTGGGGGGCCGCGAGCAACACGAACACACACATTCGGAGAGATCCCCAGCATCGTCTAACCGATCCCCATCCCCATTTCCATCCCCCTCGAGACTCCCACCAGATTACCACCCCAGTTGGGGATACACCTTTCGGAACCCGAAGAGAACGGCCTGCATCCCCATCTGGGGGGGTAAATCGGCCAGCGGGGCCCAAGTCACGCCGCTGGGGATGGGGATATTGAGATCCCCCGCCAGAAGAAAGGATGTTCCGCCGTAGCCGGCGCCAGCGGCGCCGCCCCAGGCCCGCTTCGCGAGCCAGGCAGTGGTGTGCGGATGGATGGGGTCTCGATAGGGCGGGATTTTTCCTTGGGGATGGAAGATCAGTCAGAGGCCATGTTTAGACGGTTTGTTCACCCTTGCCCGCAAGGGGGCAAAGTTTCTGTACACCTAATGCCCTTGATGACTGCAGTTTGCCGCTCATGTTGATGCCCAGCCCCTGGCTTCCATCGGCTTCTTCTAACTAAAAGTGCGTCCCACCTACACTCCTTTCGATGCACTCGGGGAAGAGCGAGTGATACAAAGCATTCTGTTTCACGCCACTTTCCCCCTCTGCAACACATCTCGGAAAATGATTGTATTTCGAAGGGTTTCCTGCCATTGTCGCAGACCCTGTGCGCAACGGGCAGCGAGAAACATTGACAGTGGGACGTTGAGCAGGAGGAGGAGGAGAAGGTTTTCTGTCAGGGGGGGGTGTGAATTTTCCGTCTCTGGAGGCTCCGGCGTTCGTCCCAGGCCTTAGATTTTACTTCGCTTTTGTTTCGTTTCGGTCGCTCCTGCGCTTTCGCGCGTCCTGCCTTCCTCTGGTTTTGATGCGTTGGGCTGCCTGTGCTCTGAGGGCCTGGCGTCCCTTCGTCGGGGAGGGCGTCGGAGTGTCTGAATAGGAGTGCTCCGCGGCTGATCGGCTCGGCCCCGAAGGGTGCGCGACGATGTGTACTGGCATGGACGTGCGTTCCTCACACGCCTGCCCCAGTGGACACCCGTTCCAAAGAGGGACGGGTGCTGGGGCTGCGGCAGCAGGAGGAGGAGGAGGATGAGGAGGAGGAGGAGGATGAGGAGGGGGAGGGAGGAAGCGGGGAAGGGGAGAGAGAGTGAGAGGACCAGGCCTCCGGGGGCCTTCGAAGGGCCCTCCTGGGTCATTTTGGAGTCCTCCTAGGCCCTCGTGGGGCTTTCCTAGGGCTCTATTGGAGGCCATGGGAGGCGTTTGGGGGCCATCTTGGAGGCCAGCGGCAGAAGGAGGGTTCCATATGTGCATTCCCCCGTCGATGCGCGAAAGTGAGCCTTTTTGGGCCTTCTTGACGCGCTACTGGGGCGGCGGATGCGATGCTGTTGCTGAGGATCACACTGTGGATTCGATTTCCCCTTGAACGCCGGACCATTCTCGGGGACGCAGGCCCGAGTATGGACACGGAAGCTACAGGAATGGTTGTTGATGTTCGTTTCTTTATTTTCCGCCATAATGTGCATGATAGGGGGGGGGAGCCAGGGGGGGAGGTATAATGTAACGCCTCCCCCCCGCTGTGCGCACGGTGGCAGTGCCCTGAGCGCACTGGGGGGGGCAGGGGCGTTACGTTATAAGGGGCGGAGGGGGGGCCGGGGGCTATAATGCCCATAGTGCCCCAAGCAATGAAGAAACACGTTCTTGAGAGGGTGGAGCTCGCACCTCTCTTGTCCGAGTCTTCAGCTTTTCTCGCAGGCTTCCTCTCAGCTCTAGGAGGTCTGGGTGGGCCAGCGAGTGAAGCTCGGACCAGGAGATCGATGAGAACATGGCGTTCAGGAAGCACAACAGCGAGAGAGCGATGACATGTTGATCTATACCTTACTGTCTTTACTCCCCGCAAACACCCAGCAGTACGTGCGACAGTTATTCTAGCTCAAGCTGCAGTCAGCACGGGACTGTTTTTTTGTTCTTGGGGGGTCGTTCGAAAGAGCCCGACGGAAAGACATTAATTATTATTGAGAGCTAGGCCCAGCGCATAAAAAAAATGATGTGGATGCGCTCGTGCAGAGGTTCGGAGAGGATTGGACGTCGACCCAGGTGCACGGGAATATCCAGCTGCCTGCAGCAAGCCTCGCCGCCATGCCTGTAACGCATCAGAAAGAAGGGCGATTACACAAAGAGCGCAATTCTGACCAGCGGTCAGAGCTGGGACGGGACTTGAACTCGACCTCGTCTTCGTCCGCGCGGTGGGGGGGGGTAGAAATCACGCCCCGTTACAGTTCAGCGAGCGGTCTGAAGTGAGGCGGGCCGGGGACTCGACCTCATCTTCATCCGTGCGACGGGGGGGAGGAGGAGGGAGAAAATGCAGACAGGGAGCAGCGGGCATCTCTCTGAAAGCGTCCCAGGAGCCTGCTGAGGGCCTCTGTGGGGGCCCCTTATGGGCCTCTTGGGGCCGCTTGGGGGCTTCTTGGGGTGTTACGGGGCTTTTGGACTGACGCCTTCGGCAGCCGTCTTGAGGGTTTGGCGATCATGCGTCCTTTTAGGCCGGGGCCGTCTTGGAGCTGGGCTGATCTAGGCGGTCGGAAATGCAAACAGGCGAGAACTTCAGAATTATAGTAAACCATAAATTAGGAGGTGAATATTTCCTGGGATTCCTCGTGGGGCCCCCTGGGGGCCTTTGAGGCCGTCTTAGAGGTCGGCCTCGTCGTCAACCTCGCCGTCGCTGTTGTCGTCGCCGTTCGTCATCGTGTTCGTCGTCGTTGTCGTTGTCGTGCTCTTTGTTGTCGTTGTCTGTCTTCCTCGTTCTTCTTTTCCCATCAGCTCCTCTTCACCCTCATCGTCGTCGTCGCGTGGCTCTCGTCGAATATTCACTTCCAGATAACAGTTCTTGTTGGCCACTGGAAATGGTTCTGTGCGCTTCCGCATCAACGCTGACGACATCTTCGGTGAGAACAGTTTACTCCGAGATGCCCTGGCCACAGAGGCCCCCCGAATTCAGGAATGGCTCTCTCGCCCGAGACCATCTCGCGCCTCAGACCATGTGGCGAAGGCCCAGCAACAACAATAACGGCTCCTCAGTCGGGCCGTTGACTAAGGTACATTTGTTTTTTCCAAAGGCGGTCGGGCGTTCCTTCGGTTTGCATGCGCTCCGTTTTTTGTTGGCAGCGAGCCCCCCCAGTGCCCCGTCGGACTTCATGGGCTTCTGTCGAAATTTGCGTGGCGAAGGACTCGACCATATGCAGTCGTGGGTACCGCAGTTGTGGGTATCGCCTTCGGTGAAGCCCCCTATGGGCCACGAAGCGCTGTACTTGGTTGGGGAGAACCATGTGGACACCGCCATTGGGACCACGAAGCGCTGTACTGGGTGGGGGAGACGCATGTGGACGCCACTGGGACCTTAGGTGGAGCTCCCCATGGGGCCACGAAGCGCTGTGCTGGATGGGGGAGACGCATGTGGACACCGCCACTGGGGCCTTAGGTGGAGCTCCCTATGGGGCCACGAAGCGCTGTGCTGGATGGGGGAGACGCATGTGGACACCGCCACTGGGGCCTTAGGTGGAGCTCCCTATGTGGCCACGAAACGCTGAGGGCATGCGCAGGGCAGAGGCAGGGATGAGAGGAGGGAGGAGGGGGACGAGGAATGAAGGAAGGAACGCGGGGACCGTCTCTTCAAAACGAGGCTTCAACACAGGATAATCGGGAAAAAAGGGCCTCGTTCCTTATTTGTCGTTCCTTGGTTCAGGGACCCGACTGCGTTTCGTTCCCTCACAAGTTGCTCCGAGGAGCCGTCCGAGCAGCGCGTTTTCGAGCGCCGACGGGATGGACCGCCTCTGTGTTCCGCCCCTTTCCCCGCGCACAGCGATCAGGCCCCTGAGCGTCGCCATCACGTCTTGTGATGCGAAGGCTACTGAGACGAAGAGCTCCCGTGCGCTAGCACCCCGCAAACCCTTCGATTCAGTAATCCTGGCCTCCCCGTTCGCCACGGTGATGCCCAAGGGCCAGATCGCTGAACTGAAGGATAACACGGGGCGTTACCATGCCCCCTCGCCCTTCCCTCTCGCCTCCGCTTCCCCCGTCTCCTCCTCCCCCCTCCCCTGCGAAGCTCAGGCAGGCTTCAGGATAAGGAAATACAGGGTTAGAGCTTTCCAGAGCGACCTCAGATCGTTCCCGAACGCTCTGAAACGGCCGCGGCGTCCGATGCGTCCTCCAGGCCCGCCTGGTCTCAGAGCTTTCCGATGTATCCCCATCTTGCTTTCTTCTTGTGAGCGTGTGGCGCCCCGCTGGCCCGCCGCCGTCGCCGCCCCCGCGCCGAAGGAGAAGCCGCAGGTTGCGCCAGACGCGGGGCAGGTGCCACCTCCGCGCGCACCTCGATCGCCGCCATCGCCGTCCTCGTCCGCAACCTCGCCGTCGTCGTCGTCGTCGTCGTCGTCCGCGTCCACGCCGCCGCTTCCGCCGCTGTGCCTTTGCATCCTGGGCCATCGTCTGCGCCGCTGCCGTCCCTGCCATCGTCCGCGTCCGTCTCGCCGCCGCGCCTGAGAGTTCCCTCGTGCAGGTATGAGAACTACTATAGAGGGGACAATACGGATTTCTGACACTTGCGCGCAACCTCATTGAAAACCACCGTGTTTCTTGACTCTGTGAGAGATCTGTTGCGGCGGTCGTCGCTGCCGTCGTCACCCAGGGCCGCCGTGGCCGCCGCCGCCGCCGCGGCAGCCGCGGCGCCAGCGACGGCGGCGGCGTGGGCGCGCGTCCAGGTGCCCGCGCATGCCGGGCTGCCGAGCGAGGCCGAGTTTGCCGGCCTGGACGCGTCGCGCTCGGCCGCCGCCCTGAAGAGCCCGCACCGGCGCGCAGCCGCCGCCGCCGCCGGCGCGGCACGCCGCCAGTCCTCGCCGCCGCCGTTCGTCGCCTCCGCTCGTCGCTCGTCGCCGTGCCTGCCGCAGTCCGCGTCGTCGTCGTCGCTGCCGCTGGTCGCCGCCGTTCGTCGCCGCCGCCGTCCCTGCCGCCATCCGAGTCGACGTCGCCGTGGCCGCGGCACCGCCGCTCACTCGCCATCCCCTCTTCGCTTCTCGGTGGCAACGTTAGGGGGGGGGGATAGGCTCAGGGTGAGGCGCATCGACCCCTCATGCCCCGTTCATCGCCGACGGGAGCCCTGCTAGCCCCACCCCGCCCAGGAGCGTACGGGTTCGCTATCGGGGGCCGATCGCCGATCTATCGGCAGTGCATCGCCGAAACATCTCGATGTTCCCCCCCACCACCACCACCACCACCACGCAGATCATCAGGTGCTGGCCCCGCTGGGCCACTTGATGCGTGATTAGAGCCCTGGTCGGCCCCACCGCGCGCAAGCCGTCGGGGGGTGGGGTGAGCAACGTAAGGGGAGGATAGGTTCCCAGGGGGGGATGCATCGACCCCCAATCGCCCACTCATCGCCGACAGGGGCCTCAAAGCCCACCCCACCCCAGAGCGTGTGGATTCGCAATCGCGGGCCTATCGCCGATCTACCTGTATCGCCGATTCCAGCTCGATGCTCCCCCCCCCTGAGCTGGTCCCCCCTGACGTTGCCCTAGAAGGGCGAGCCGCGGCGGCAAAGGGGGCCGGACGGACGGAAGATCGGGTCGGACGGAAATAGGGGATAGGAAAAGGGGGGGACGAAATCGGGGAGGAAAAGGGGGGGACGAACGCACGGGGAAAGGAAGGGATAGGGAAAGGGGAGGACGAACGGACGGGGGGGACGAACGGACAGAAGGGGGGGGGGGAACAGGTCCCGTTTCCATGGGACATCACGGATTTCCGCCGCCGGACGGGACGGCGCCGGCCGCATTTTGGGGAGGGCACCTCCCCCGATTCATGATGGATTTGGCGACCGCGCGCCAAGTCCATGGATCGGTTATCCATGTTGATGCGCCCCCGAGATACATGGCCGCCTCTGGCGCCGGGAGGCGCTGGAAAAATCAGCTGCGCGCGTTTATTCGCTTATCCCCCTTTACGGTTCACCCCTGTTGTCCGACCCGGGAGGAGGGAAGGGGGTGGGCGTCAGGGCGCCAGAGACGGGGGGCACAGTAAACGGGGGTACGGGGAACGCCGATTTCCACGATTGGCTATGCCCCCGTTTAGGGGGCCCTGGGCGCCTTAGACGGGGGAATAGTAAACGGGGTATATGGAGAAGCCGAAGCCCTCGTTTAGCTAAACCCCCGTCTACGAAGCCCCGAGGGCGGGGCTGGGGAGGCGGACGGAGGAGCAAGCCCCGATGCGCCTCTTGCCAGTGCTGCGCGCGCTCGTCCTCTGTCCCCATCCACCGGCCCCCCATCGTCGCCTTCGTCCCACTCATGGCCCTCTCTCGAGGGAGGAAGACACGTTCCGACCCCCAGAATCCCAGATCCCCGACGATGCGTTTTGGTTTAAACTGGGCGTTATTTCCTCGATATCGGCTTGCGGGACCCACTGTCGGGCCCCAGGACCATCAAAAATGGATCCGGGGTGGCTAATTGGCCATGGGGGAAGTGGTCGCGACCTCTTGGGCCGTGCATTGAAAAAATCATGGCGGCGGATGTCTGGGATTGGCGTTTACGAGGGTGTCGCTGGCGTTTACCGAGCAGTTCCTCCCTGCCCGATGCATCCCTTGGTGTGTTTACTAAAAGGCTTCGCATGTAGGGGTAATTCTTATGAGGGCGACTATTCTGCCACCTAGTCGCGCTTCGCTCATTCCGCCAGCCCGTACAGCGTCGTCGTTGCCGCGTGCCCGTTTGGTCTGGCGACTGCGAATGTGTCCGTGCGCTCGTGGCCAACGACAGATATTTGGGAGGCCCTCGATGGCTGTTTGGGGCACTCTGGAAACCAACTTGGGGTCTCGTCGGTGGCCTCTCGGGGGCTTCTTGGCGGCATGTGTGTGACCTTCTCATGCCGCTCGGGTGCCTCGTGTGGCAGCCTTTGGGACCTCTTGTGGCCTCTTGGGGGCCTGCTGGCGGACTCGGGCGCCACCTTTCCGGGAAGGCTCGACGTGCGAGCTTGGATCCACCCACTCGAGGGTGTCTGGGTGGCTCGTGGGAGGCCTCTCGGAGTCCTCTTGTGCCATCGGGGGGTCCTCCTTGGAGCCTATTGTCAGGAGGGGAAAAACCATACAGACACAATTAAGCATCGATTCCCAGGAAAAAATGTTGAAAATGTGGACAATATGGGGGAAGGCGAAAATCCAGAAAGCATCGAAGAATATAGGGAATCCTGGGACTCGTGTGTATTTATTTGTGTGTCACAGGGCCCCTTGATATTGGGCTGACTTGGCATTGGGACGGCCCCTTCGCCGTATGGGGAGGTCGGCAACCCGCAAAGGCGCTAACACCAAAATTGATTCCGACTTTCAGAATAGGAGCAAAATCAGCGACTTCTGCCTCTGCCCTCTTCAGGTCTTACTGAGGTCCTCTTGGGCTGTCTTGGGCGCCTCTTGGGCAGTCTTGGAACGCTCTTGGCCCGAGGCCGTGTGGCCTGCCACCCAGTTGGCGCCTCCCTGGGGCGCTCTGGGGGCCCCCCAGGGCTGCGCCAAGGAGGTCCGGCATCTGCGACCCAGACCTTACCAGGACTTCGCCAGGACTTGCCTGGCTTGCTTGACGTCCGGGGACCCCCAGGAGCCGCCACGCGCGTGCGAACTAGAAATGTTATGAACCTTTTACCGGAGGCTTTAGTACGCCACTGGCCCGAAGGGCCGGCGAAGTTTTGGGAGTTTGCGCCCACATAAACGCAATCCCAGTAGTTATACGATCAGGGCGACCATTTGACGGTGTCACATTGCAGCGTCTCTGAAATAGGATCAGGGGGCAGTATTTCGCATTGGCTTCGATGAGTTTTCATGAGTTCTTTACTTGACGACGGATGTGTGCTCAGTGTGCTTCGGGTTCATCCGCCGGTTGGAATGAGGCGTGCTCTTTCCCCGAGACCAGGCCAAAACGGAGGCCTCACAAAGCAAAAGCCTCGAGCCCCACACCCCCTTTTCCCCCTCCCTCCCTCGTCATCCTCTTTTTCTTTCGTGTCTCTCCTGACATCTGTTCCTCGTCATCGTCCTCCTCCCTCCAATTAGGCGCGTCCGCACGCGGCTCTACTTCACTTCCGAGAGCCACATCCAGACGCTGATGAACGCGCCCCCGCCCTCCTCTTCGGGGATGGAGCGGGGGGGGAGGGGCGCGGCCACGGGGTGAGGAGCGAGGGCGCGCCAGGGGCGCAGAGAGGCCCGAGAGAGGAGCTGGATCGAGGACCCCGCGTGTCGGCGGGGAGCTCCTGCGAGCGCGTGCGCGCTCGTTCTCTGTCTGTCCCTCTTTGATGGGGATCCCGGGGACGCCTGGGGACCTCCGCGGGGGTGGTTGGAGATGCAGAGACAGAGAATAGAGAGAGAGAGAGAACACAATGGAGGAACGGGGAGAGAGGGGAACAGATGAATCAGAAGTGGGAGGGGGACAGAGAGAGTGAGAGAGAGGGACAGAGAGGGCCAGTAACAATATTATAGCACATAACCGCATGCCGATGATAATAAAGGACCCCCCCCTTCCACGCTAGAGTTGATTATCCACGGCCAAGAAGAATGTGGTCAGGGGCGCGGGGCGCGGAGGCCGAACTTTTTTATCACTGTGAAAAGTTCACCATCGAGGTTAATTTCCTTCTTATGTTGAGATGGCAACATCAAGCGAAGCGAAGACGTTTTCGAGGATGTCTCAAGCGAAACCAACAATGTTTGGAGGCAGCCTCAAGCGACACGATCAATTTTTCAAGGATGACTCAAGCGGAACCAACAATTCTTCGAGGATGACTCAAGCGAAGCGAGAGAATTGTCGATGAAAGACTTCTTCCTCCTCCTCCTCCTCATCATCATCATCCTCTCTCGTTTTCTGTTTCTCTCTCTCTCTCTCTCTCTCTTTCCTCTCTCTCTCGCTTTGTCTCTGTCTCTGTCTCTCTCTCTCTCTTTGTTTGTCTCCTTCTCCCTCTGGCCCCCTGAACTGTTTTATCGCTGTGGTTTACTATCCACGGAAACCGAGGCACATGCGGCACCCTACACGAGCAGATGAAAATCAGAATTTCCATTGCTTGTTTACACATTCAATGTATTAGGTTTGTAACGTTGGCTTTTCTCCTCCTCCTCCTGCTCCTCCTCCTCCTCCTCCTCTCTCTCTCTCTCTCCTTCTGTCTATATTTCTCTACGTTTCTCTCTCTCTCTCTCTCTCTCTCTCTGTCGAACTATATGTATATTTGTGTTTCTGTCTCTATCTGTCTTCCTCCTTCTCCCCCTGGCACCTTGAACTTTTTATCGCTGCGGTTCACTATCCACGGAAACCGAGGCACGTGAGCTACCCTACACGAGCAGATGAAAAGCTTGATTCCCATTGTTTGTTCACAAATTAAATTTAATAGGTTTGGAAGTTTGGCGTTTCTCCTCCTCCTCCTCCTCCTCCTCCTCCTCTCTCCTTCTATCAGTCTATCTTTCTCTACTTCTCTCTCTCTCTCTCTCTTTCTTTCTCTCTCTCTCTCTCTTTTTTTCTCTAACTATCTGTATCTTTCTGTCTCTGTCTCTCTCTGTCTTCCTCCTCCCCCTGGCACCTTCGCCGTCGATCCTCGGACCTCGATCCTCGACTCTGGGATCTCGATCCTCGATCCTCGGACTTCGATTCTCGATCCTCGATCCTCGGCTTTCGGTCCTCTTACTATCATCTCTTTCTCCTCCCACATGCTGGCCTCCGGTAGGCAACAGTTATAATCCCCCCCCGCGACATTTATTATCCCTGTGGGATTGTTCTCCGTGGTACATGTTTACATGCGGAGAATGAGGGAGCCACGATACTTGCGCTGGATCTCATCGGTCCGACCCCCCATACATTTCTCCAAACCTCCCCCCTCGGCTCGCCCTCCCTCATCTCACCCCATCAGCTCTCTCCTGCTATCCCCCCTTCCGTCGGCCCAGGGCCAAGGCTTGAATGGTGCAGGATTCCTTTCGGAATGCTTTCGGGCCACGCGAGCAAGCATCCCCCAAAGCGTCCTGTGTTGAAGCAGTGCTGGGCACCCCCTGCAGGCCCCCATCCCAGTGGAGGATTTGGGTTTTTTGCACACTTCAAATCTGCACTGGAGGAATGAACAGCGCGTATGTCGTATGTCTATTGGTTCGACCAGGGGTTCAGGTTGACAGTGTTCATATTTGGCATCCACGAATTCCGTAGGCTTCAGAGCGAGTAGCCCCTAAATGAGGCTGAGCCACATGATCGGGGCAGGGAATTGGGTGGGGCCACTTCACTGTGCGACAGGTTCTACCCGATCCTACCGCGTCTCCCTCATGCCGTCGCGCGCGGCTGGCCCGAAGAACCCCCCCCAACCGGATGCTCCCGGAGGGGGGGGGAGAGGGAGCGTGGGAGAGATCAGTAAGAGTTCGAGCTTGGGCTCGGGGCGCAGGGGCGACTGGGTGGAGGGGGGGCATATGCAGCAGACGGAGGAGGAGGAGGAGGAGGAGGTCCCGAGAGGGAGAGGCATATTGGTCTTTTCTGCCGCTGCATCTGCTCGTGCGCCCACTCTCCCTGCTGCTGCTGCTGCTCCTCCTCCTTCCTTCTTTCTCCTCCTCCTCCTCCTCCTCCTCCTCCTCCTTGTACCCACTCGGTTGTATTGTGAAGGCCTTACGGCCGGCGCCGCCGACCCTGAAGGCAGGACTTCTCCCCCAGGACCCCCGCTGGCGCCGCCCACCCCCCCGGCCCCCCGGGACCCACCAGGACCCCAGGGGCGGGGAGCGGTAATCTGACGCAGGACAATCTCCCCTTTTTGGGGGCGGTAATCTGACCGAGGACCATCTCACCCTTCCCCTCCCCTCTCAGGGAGGGGATAATGGCAAGGGTATCGACTTAACTACGGCGTTTCTTTTCTCTGTTTGTTCCTTTTCTGTTGGGACTGGCGACGACGACGACGACGACGACGACGACGACAGCGTCTCATACACACCGAAGGGTCGGCGGATTCCATCTCCAGGCATTTACGGCGGGTCGAGGGGCGCAAGGGCTTCGGCCATCTGCGAAGAGACTGCCCGCAGTTCGAGGATCGAGGAAGGAAGACGGAGAGCAGCGGAGGAGGGAGATGAGGAGGAGGTGGAGGAATGGGGGGAATGGGGGGGAGGAGGGGGCATGCTGGATCAGTCGTCGTCATCGGAGGACGGAGGAGGAGGAGGAGGGGGAAAAGAAAGAGGAGGAGAACGAGGAGGAGGAGAAGGAGGAGGAGGAACATGAGGAGGAAAATAAGGAGGAAGAGGAGGAGTGGGTGCACGAGCAGACGCGGCGGGATGTCCTGCGGAGCTGCCCTTCTCCAGGGGGCAGGGGGGGGCCGCGGCGCGAGAGGACGTGTAGTTGCTCGCGCTCGCCGCTCCGCGAGGGCGCGAGGGCGCGAGGGGCCCAGTGGCCCAGTGGCCCGGGTCTGTGGGCCTGGGCGGGCTCCCAGAGTTAGTTCGACGTCGGCATCACTGCCAGGCATCGTTGCCAGGTTTCCCCCGCTCCGCCCTGCAGGAGCATAGTTTGCTCTCGTGGTGTCGCTTCGCGCGGCGAGCTAGGTGTTCGTGCCTTCCGTACGGCACAGCGTGTTTTTGAACAAGCAAAGACAGGCTCCGACGTGTGTGCGGTCGGGTTTTGTGGGGTGCTCAAGGTGTTCTTAGAGCTGTTGGTGGTCGATATGTTGGCCCTATCGACCTTCCCTTCCTACCTGCCCCGTCCCCCTACTCCGCGCACTTCCTCACCCGAGATCCGGCGCCGCCAAAATTTACAACACCGTGGGAAGTTACGATGGACCCCATCTTTTCGCGGCTTCTCTCGGGCAAGATCGCCCCACGAAGGCCTCGGGGCCCGGATCCGAGGAAGCACGCCCGGCGCGAAGTGAGACATCGGCGCCAGGATGTCAGGCTAGTCCTCCCTCGCGCTCCCCCTCCCCGTTAGGGTACAGCTCTTGGGAATTAAATTCTTCACGCTTCGCGTGCAAAAGACGGGCACAAAGGACGAAGAGGCACATATAGTGAATCAAAGCGGGCAACCAGCGTGAACAGAGAAATCTCCAGGAGCAAGGGAGTGGCCTTGGAGGGCCTTTTTCGGGCCATCTTTGGGGCCCGCGTGGGGGCAAGGGAAGGAGGAGGAGGAGGAGGAAGAGGAGGAGGAGGAGGAGGAGGAGGAGGAGGAGGAGGAGAGGAGGGCGACGACGACGACGACGGCCATGACGACCACGACGACCACGACGACGAGGAAGATGAGCAAAAAAGAAAAGGAAGACGATGAGGGCAAGGATGAGGATCACTGACTCAGCTGCCAGGTCAGCGAGCGGGCCGCCATTGGACAGACCTTCGGGGCCGTTGGTCGCAATCAGGAACTGCCAATGGGGGACACCCATTGCTTAGGGAAACCGCAACTCGCAGCCTGCAACTGGGGGTTGCTAACGAGGGCCCGCCCTGGCTGGCAACCCCATATCGAGAACCCGCTCGGGCGCGGATGCCCTGAGCACCTGCCTATCGTCTGGCCCCTTCTGCTCCCCCAGCCCAGCCCCCTGCCTCCCAATTCTTTGAGGGCCAGCGCCTCCATGGATTGCGCCCTGGGCGGGGCGCGGCGGGGGTGCCCGAGAGGCGACGCGGTTGCGAGAAGCGCAACGCCGGCTCGGGCCTGAACACCTCAAGACAAGGGCGAGGAGGAGGAGGAGACGAGGACAGCCCTCAAGGTTGCCTCTTGGAGCCCTCTTGGGGCTCATTTGGGGGATCTTGAGTGTCGTGGGTCTCTCACGGGGCTGGGGTCGCCGATTTGCCCCCGCCCCACCCGTGCCATCAAAATCGCCTCTTGACGGCTCTCTCGGGCCGATCTTAGGCGCTCTTGGCGCCGTGTTGCAGGCCTCTTGGGCTCCTCTTGGGCCACTCTTGGGCCACCTTGGGGTCACCCTGAGGCCTCAAAAGGCAAAAGCAACAAAAAAGACATCGGAAGCGAAAAGGTGAGAAGGCACAAACATTGATTTCGGTACATGTTTGAAGGATGTGGGCCTCTTGGTGGTCCTGAGGGGGCTCCGATAGCGCTTGGAACCGTCTTGAGGTCCTCGTCGGGCTTCTGAGAGGTAGGTCAGAATCTATCTTCAACCATCGCAGGCTATATTGAGCCATCCCGGATGCCATCTTTCAGCATCGGACGCCTTCTTGGGGCCATCTTGGGCGCCCTGACACCTCGCGCCCCCCCCACAACAAACAACAAGTTAGGGAAGGGAGGGGGAGGGTACCCCTCCCGAAGGGAAGAAAGTTTTTGCAAGAGGGAATAATGTGTTAGACCGCCTTAGCCCAAAGGGCTGGTGAGATTCAGCATCGGCGCTGGTATATCCGTGAATGAAACTTGGCCTTCTCTGGCGTAATCTTGAACTTGGTCTGAACCAATCCGAGTTCATGACCCTTTACACGGGCTCCTGGGCCCTGAATTCTCTTAGGAGGACCTCCCATGAGGTTCTCCCCAAGCCTCCCACCCACCAGGCGTCCTCCCCAGGGGCAATGTTAGGGGGGACAGGTTCAGGGGGGAATGCATCGACCCTCGATCGCCCATTCATCGCCCATGGGACCCCATAGCCCACTCCGCCCAAGAGAGTGCGGTGCCCACCCCCTGTCCTCGTTCTCCTTCAGGAACGCGCGCTCTAAGTCCTGCTCCTTCCCTCCCCTCCCCTGTCCTCCTCCTCCTCCGCCTCCTCCGCATCTGCCTCCTCCTTATCGCCCTCTTCGAAAGTCCAGCCCCCCGCCCCCCTTCAGGGGCAACTTCCGGGGGGTGGAAGCCCAGGAGAGACGCGTCGACCCCCAATTGACAGTCCACGCCGTTCAGGAACATGCGGATTCGCCATGACCGCCGATCTATCGGCGATGTATCGCCGATCTCTCGGCAAGTAGACTTCTCCCCCCTGAGCCATGCCACCCCTATCGTCCTATAGTGGACCCTCATCTCTTTCCTCCTCCCCCGCGCCCTCCTCGCCCCATAACTTTCCCGTCACCCCCCCCCGCCCTCCTCGCCCTGAGCCTCCTCCTCCTCCTCCTCCTCATCCTCGTCTTCTCCCTCCTCCTCATCCTCTTCATTCTCGTCATCCTCTTCTCCTCTCCTCCTCATCCTCGCCTTCTCGCTTAGCGTTCCGCCTCGCCCTCTGCGCCAGAGGCGCTCCGGTACTGCCACCTGGCGCACCCGTGCGAGCCTGGCGACCCGGACGCGAACGTGCGCGTCGTATGCCCAGAGGCGTGCGGGCCGTTGAGCGCGAGGGGGCCGTTGAGCGCGAGGGGGCGCCGAGGGCCCGTGGGGGAGATGCTTTCAGGTGATCGCAAGCGCGGATCAAGGGCGCGTGGATTAGCGACGGGTCCAATTTCCATGGGACATCGCGGATTCCCGCCGCCGAGCGAGGCGGCACCGGCCGCATTTTGGGGAGGGTATTTCCCCGATCCATGGATTTGGCGACCGCGCGCCAAATCCATGGATCGCTAATCCATGTTTGCGCGCCCCCGAAAATCGGTAAGTACGATCCAAATGGGTACGGACAGAACGGGGAGGAAGGCCGACAGCCGCGTCTGCCCATGTTGGGCAGGACTCGATGTCGGTGCCGCCGCGGACGGTGTCCATTTGAGGCAAACGGTCGCCTGCCCAACAGCGGCCGGATTGGGACAAAAATTGCTGTTGGGCGTCGTCTGTTTCGGGGGCGCCGGTAGCCGTTAGGGGGGGGGGGGTTCGATCGGTCATCGATCTCTCCAGATCTCCCACGATCTTTGTTTTCAGTCCCTGCGATTTCCCCTCGATCTCTGCATCTGGGGCCTGCTCCTGAGCCCCGGGACCATCAGAACTGGATCGGGGGGCGAAACAAAAAATGTGCCCCGGGGACGGAGTCGGGACCTCTGAGTCCGTGGATTGGAATCAACAAATCCAAGCATCGAATCAGATGAGGGACATCTACCTATACGATACGGCTACCCTTCCCTCGTCGCCACGGATGGATTCGCTCGCAATCCTTGGTCACAGCGCGTCCCTGGAGAAATCCAGGGAGTAGCGGTATCCGTATTAGCTTCCCCAGAGCCAACCTTTGTTATTCATTTCCTTCGGGGAGCAGCGGGACAAGGAGGAGTAGGAAGAGAGCGCCCCGCCATGTGCTACCCCGAGTAGTTGGTGTCCCCAAGTACTATCCCCACGTAGTTTGCCCATAAGTATTGCCCCCATGTGTCGCCCCACAGGCTGAGCTCTCCATCGAGCCACGCGCGCACAGGGAAGAAGTAAGGTCGTTCGGGTCCCCTTCGCTTTGATAAGCGACTCAAACCAGACGTGACGCCAGGGCAGATGGGGCATTCCGCATGAGACTTCCTCACCGCTTACGGTCCTGAAGTTTTTCAAGTTCCCAACAGTTGCATTGATGTCAGGTGGGTTGTTTTCCAAATTGGGGCTCTCGGCTTTGCGCGGCGCTCACTAGCTGTAAAAATTGTGTAACAATTGCACCCACTGATGGCGGTTACGTTTCAAAGTTGGATGTTCGCTTGACTTCGCTAGACTGCATGACCAGATGTATACGTATAATTGAACAACAGGTATACGGATGGAAGGCGGGGACTTTTCAGAATGGGGTTATCGCCTTGCCGCCGCGCTCACTCGTTTGAAGCATTGCGCAATAACACCGATGGTGGTACGGTTTACAGTGGGGATTCGGGTTGACGTGTCAGGTTACATTGCCAGACGTAGAGAGTTGAGCAGCAGCTGCACGGGTGAAAGGTAGTGCTTTTCCAAGCAGGGTTCTCGTTGGGTTTTCTCTTCAATGTATTACTCCACCTTGTCGCATTCCTTCTAGGCCGAAGGATGGATGGGAGTGTCTTTCAAAACGGGGCTCCCACCTGAATTCAAGAAGCTGAAGGTGGTCGATCAGCGCCGCTTCGACGAGTCGGCCAAGAGGCTGAAGGCGCAGCCCAGACGCGGTTCGGAGGCGGGCGCCACGCGCAGTGGTCCGTCGGTAGCGGGGGACCCAGGACGCCAGGTGCTTCCAGACAGTCAAGAAGATCACGGTGGAGGCCTTAGCGGCCCCGTGGCCCCGTGGTCACAAACGCGTTTCTGGAGCCTGAGGGCGAGTCGCCGGCGATCCCGGGCACAGGAGCGTGACTGCATCATGGAGGGGGACAGCGCGGAGGAAGACGAGGAGTTCGACCCGCTGGCGCCGGGCTCGCCCGCGAACCTCGTCAGGGCGGACACCGTGGAGGCGTGGCGGCAGCACACCCAGGGCGGAAGGGTCGCTTGGACGCGCCGAGATGCGTCCGGCTCCAGCGAGCTGCTTAGCGGCGCGGCTGATGGCAGGCCCGCGGGCGTTGCCGCGTTCGTTGACCCACGGGCCACCCACGCGTGGATGGGGATGTTCCGGGGGGGGGGGGGGGGGGAAAAACACACAGACACAAGTAATCGTCGATCCCCAGGAAAATATTCGAACATAAGGAAAGTGAGGGGGAAGACGAACACCGAGACAATATAGGAAAATATGGGGAATCATGGGATTTGTGTGCATTTATGTGTGTGTGTGTCCCTGGGCCCCTTCAGACGTGGCCGCCGATGATGCCACATATACCGCCTATGTGCCCGCTGGGCATGGAGGTGGCCGTTGCTCACGAGCAGCCCAACACAGCCAACACCGAGAACGGCACTGGACGTCGAGGACGAGGGCCCGCGCAGGGTGAAGGTCTCGTGAACCACGCCGGCGCGCGTCTTGAGCAGCAAGGACGAGCCCGCGCACGTCTCGCCTGAGTTTCGGCTCTCGCTTGGCCAAGACTCGTGTCCATCCGCGGGGCTGAGGTTCAAAATGATAGTCTACCCGAAGGTGCACAGCAACATCAAGGTCGGGGCTTCTTCCAAGAAGGTCAGTCAGGGGAAGAGGCCACCTGGAGCTCGGTTGGATGGACATGGTGCCCGACGACGCTCCAGAAGTCAGCTTCTCGCTGGCGGTGGGCAGCGCCCTGATGAGAGGCCCGACGACGCACTGCTTCCGCAGCAGCGCCGTCGGCAGGCTGCCGCGCAACCAGGCAGAGTGCAACTTCAGGGCCCAGAGGGTGGGCAGTGTCGTCACGGTCCTGCTGTGCATCGAGCCCTGCCAGAGGGCAGCGCCCCTGGAAGGAGCCGCCAGCGACGGAGAAGGCGGGCGTGGAGGGCGCGTCCCACGTCCCCGCAGCCCTCAGCAGACGCCGGGGCCAGGAGTTATCGCAAGTCCTCCCCCCCCCTGTCTTCCTCCTCCTCCTCGCCCTCCTGCCACTCCTCCTCCTCCTCCTCCTCCTCCTCCTCCTCCTCCTCTTCCTCCTCCTCGCCCTCCTTGCAAGCCCTGGCCCGATTGTGGTGCCCGATGCAGCTCCCTATCCGCACGCGCGTGCCGATCCGATCCGACTTTCCCACTTGGTGCTGATTGGTCCTGCCACACACATGGGCTTGTCGGCGCGAATCAGGAGGTGGCGCGTGGTGGTGCCTTTCTAAGAATGCGGGGGGGTTCTTAGCAGGGCCGAGGGGCTTCCCAGAAGCCATCTTCGAAGCCTCCAGGGCCTTGTCAGAAGGTCCCCACCTTCTAAGAAGCACCCCGCCTTCTCAGAAAGTCACCCCCATGTGCGCACCGCCGGACGACGGCGGCGGCGGCGGCGACGACGACGACGGTGGCGACAACGGGTGGTGCCGGCGAGGCCGCACGGGCCTCCGAGCCCCCCCCCCCCGCTCGGCACGAGGCCGAGGAGTGCTTGTCCCGGGCACCGGTGTTCGAGTACCTTTCGCAGGTCGTGCTCCGGCTCTACGAGGAGCCTTGGCGACGACGACGACGACGACGATCGCCACGAAGCAGACGGGTCTTAAAGGAACAGGTTTCTCGCTTGTTTCGGGCTTCCTGGCCTTCTCTGGGCCCCGGGATTTTCCGAGAACGGTTCGGGACGAGAAGCTGGTCCAAGACCCATGTCCCTCAGGACCCACTTGCTTCATGCCAAGCGGAACGACGACGTGACGTCGTCGTGTCTGGGGTGTTTCAGGCATGGGCTGGAGGCTCTCGTCGCCGCAGCCTGACGCCGCTGAAAGAGCTGTCCAGCGAGGAGCCCCAGAGGAGTCCGGAGACCGATTTTGAGGAGATTCTGAGGAGGAGGAGGAGCAGGGGGAGCAGCCAGAGGAGCAACATTGGCAAGAGGAGGAGGATGAGCAGCAGTAGGATGAGCAGCAGCAGCAACAGCAGGACGATAACGAGTAGGAGGGGCAGAAAGAAAAGGAAGAGAGGGGGCACAGCAGGATCAGGTGGGCGGGTGGGGGAGAGAGGATGTCTTCAGAAGTCTCCAGATGCCTCGTAAGCCGCCTCGCCATAAAAACGGCCCCCCCCCCTTTCCCCCCTTCCAACTCCAGTTATAACTCATCCTCCTCTCTCTGCCAATCCTGGGCGGGTGAGGAGGAACCGTCCGACGGATTCGCTCTGTGACGGGGAGCCGTCCAGACGACTCATTGGCCACAGGCCTCGAGCCCTTTTCCCTCGTCCCCGATGCACTCGGACCAGGAGGGGGGCCCCCGAGAAAGGCCCCTGGGCGCCAGGAGGCCAGGATCGAGGAAGAGCGCCAGGACTGAGCAAGGCACGACGTTGACGTCGGGACAGATGAGGAGCAGGAGGGGAAGGAGTGGGTAGGTGGTGGCGTGGACCAACACGTGCGAGGGGGGGGGGTGTCTTTCGGGACACGTTGATTCGCATGGCAACGCCACGCCATGTTCAGTGTTGCAGCTTTGTCACACAATCTCCGCTTCAGAGAGCAGGTTGACACGACGAGCTGCACACATCCAGCTTCGCCGCTTCAAGGTTGCAGCATCATGTTTGATTCACTTTGGAATTTTGGAGTGACGCGCCGTGGGGAGCAAAGTGGTGGTTGTACCGCCCGGGGCGCCACTGCAGGTGGTGGCCAGGCAGATCCCCTGAGGGCGAGCGCGGGCGTGCCCAGACAAGACAAAGACGCTGGTAGCATTCCACGCGCATCTCGTGCTGGAGGCCCAGCACATGGACAAGGATCAGACTTCGCTTCTCGGCTTTACGGGGTTCTGCTGGTGGCGGAAGTGGTAAGGCGTCGTGGCGCCCCTCGGGAGGCCGAAAAAGGACGCAGCGCCACCCAGCAGGATTCCCACAGACCTCCTGCTTTGCATGGTGGACGGGCTGATTATACTGTCGGAGGCCGCCGTCTGTGCACTGCATAGACACGCGCTCCTCAGGCATGGACTAGACGTCCGATTCCTATTGGCCAGCTTGGGCGACGAGGGTCTCGCCGGTTGGAGCCTGCCCACAAGGGGTCGCTGCAACGGCCAGGTTGGACGTCGCGGAGGTTATCATCATCGACTGGGTCTCGCCCAAAAAACCCAATGCCAACGGTAATCAGGTCAGGGTCGAGGGTTGCCGCGCTGAGCTCCAGAAGTTCAACATCATGCCGATCGAGCAAAAGGACAGGTTGAAAGACTACCTGTTGGTCCATGGGATCACGTCCCCAGAAAACGAGGAGTCCGAGCGCTACAACAAACTGGCTTGAGTTAGCGCAGCGCCAAAAAGAAGGAGGAGGCAGGAGAAGGCGGGGAGGGGAGGAGCGGGAGAAGTAGACAGGGAGCAGTGGGAGCAGGGCGAGGCGGGGTGGGGCACGACCACGACGAAGGGGAAGAGCAGGGGGAGGAGGGGGGCAGCGGAGGAGGTGGACGGAGGGGATGGATGGCAGGGCGGTAGGCGGGCAGGCAAAGAATGTGGAGGCGGCCAGTCGCCCCGCGCGGGGCGGAGGACAAGAACTGCGCACCCGACTCCCCCGAGCGCCACAGAGTCGAGGCCCGGGCCCCTCGGCTCTCATGCTTCTTCGCGATGCGATCGGAATTTGCACGGGAGAACTTGGTCGGAGGTTGGTAGACCTCCTACCCTGACACGTCGATTCGTGCATTAATCGTTTTCGGTTCGCGAGAGGGCGTCGCGGCCGTTATATCTGCGGGTCCAGGTCCGTCGGTTTCGGTCCTAGGCCGTTTTCACTACAGTGTGGTTTGCTAAAGGGAGGTTTCTCCACCGCCGATTTCGGCGAAGACCGACAGCAGCTCGTGCCCATGAGGAGCAGGGCTCGCTGTTAGCGTCGCCGCGGACACTGTCCAGTTGAAGCCAAAATCGTGTGCCCAACAGCGGCGGCTGTCAGTTTTGGACAGCATCTGCTGTTGGGCATGCCAATCCTTTGCGGACATGCCAGTCCTTTGCGGGATCGGAGCAGATTCGGCCATGCGTGAGATTGACCGTTCGCTGGGGCGACCTTTGCTGCGGACCCTTTCTCAGGCACCTCCGTCGGTTCCTATTGTTTTGCACCGCGGGATGCGTTCCAGCAACTGCGCCTCGCCGAGGGCATTCCGGGGGTGCCCGGATCGTCCCGAACGGCCGTTAGAGGCCCGAATAATGATCCGGAAGTCGATGGATGGGGTCGGAGGATGGCGCCGAATCTCCGATGCACCGGCGATGCGGTGCCCGTCTGGCAGTCGCCAGTGCGTCGGCGATGCGACGCCATCTTCCAACCCGATCAATTCTGGCCCCATGTTGGGGAGGTCTCCAGTCAGGGGCAACGTCAGGGAGACAGTTCGTCGGTGGGCGCATCGACCCCCTACCGCCCATTGATCGCAGATGAAGGCCCGATAGTCCACCCCACCGCTATCGGGGGCCTATCGCCGATCTATTGGCGATGCATCGCCGATTCCAGGTCGACGTTACCCCCCTGAGCCCGTCTCCCCCTCGCGGTCACCTCATTAGGGGGGCGGCGGCAGCCGCACCACAGCCTTCCCGTCTTGTCCCCCCTGGCGTTCACGGCTTGTGCGCTTGCAAGGGGAATCCACAGGGGAGCGAGGACCATGACGGCGTAGTTTCGAGGACGCTGACCCGCGCCCGTTGGGAGGAGGAGGAGGAGGAGGAGGAGGAGGAGGAGGAGGAGGAGGAGGAGGAGGAGGAGAACAAGGGGAGGAACTGGGAAGCAGGAGGAGGAGGAGGAGGAAGGTGGGGGAGGAGGAAGAGGAGGAGGAGGAGGCGGAGGAGGAGTAGACTATGAACCTGGAGCTAGGGAGTCAGTGTGGCGGAGAGTTTGGTCACCTGCAGCTTAGGACACCTGATTTCTTCTCCCCTCTTTGGCTGCTTCCACACGAGGAGGAACTCGGAGGAACGATGATGGGGGCAAGAAGAGGGGGTTGGCTGAGTCAGGATGGAGGGTATGATGATGATGAGGAGGAGGAGGAGGATTCATGTTTGAGTCGTTTCAGGCGCGCTTGGCTTTGGGGTACTCACCATCAGAAAGCGCTAATGCCTGAACCATGCGATCGTCCCTGAGCTTTCGATCCACCTGATCATCTCGCCGAGTGATGTCTCTGGGTTTCGGCCCAAGTGGCTTAGATCGAAGTCGGCCCTGCTCATCTGTTCCAGCTCTCACTATGTCGTCGCACCGCTTCTTTAACGCATCGAACTCTGCCTCTGATAGCTCATTGTACAGCCGACTGATCTCTCTCGTGTCTGGGGGTATACTCGCATCACCTTCCAATCCCATTGTTTTTCTCGGACGAATAAATTCCAAGGCGATGGCTTCCTCTGTCGGCCTCCGTTGCAAGGCTTGATATGACCAGCGGCACCAGGGCATGGGGGTGGATCATCTACCACTGGCATCGTTACCGTCGCGTGCTCTCGTCTGGCCTTGCACCGTGCGAGGTGGTATTCTGATGCTAGCTCGCTGAACTCCTCACCAACGTTCTGAACCTCTCGCACTTTGATGCGTCGCCTGAAAGCAGCGTGCATGTCCTCGATCTCCAATATATCCCTCTTCTCCATTCTGGCCTTGAATCGCAGCTTCGCCTGTGGAACGGGGGCACGAAGCTGCAGTGGGTGGTCCTTCCACGTATCCACCAGTTGTCTAGTCCATTCGTCAAAGAGGCAACGTCGGTCGTTGACGACCTCTGCGGCACCTGCACCAGACAAGTGCAAGGTACATCTTAGTAGGGTAAGCAAGATGAGGTGGGTCCACGAGCATCGACTCGACCCAACACTCCACAGACACGATAAGCTTGAAAGCAAGCGCGCAGCGCTTTCTACTCTTGAACCCATCTGGGACTAGATCCACCCACAACGCATCCCCATCGCGAAGCAAACCCAAATCATAAAACAATCGACACTCCAAACTTGATGTTGCTGACTCAACCGCATAACCCTGCAATTGCACGTCTCCGTGGCCGCCTCTGGCTTTCAGTTTTATAGTTCCCAAGCGCCGTTGGTACTGATAATCGATTGTCGACCTCTCGATCTGCGCAGACATAAGTTTACCACTCGCTTCCAAGACCTGGCGATATATGAGTGCGTCGTAGCCCCAGCCGTGGTTGTCACAAACGAAAGCTAGAACCTGATGCTTTGATTGTGCTCATCCTTGTTCATACCTCGAACTCTCCTCAAGTCGCCAGGATCAAGACCGTCGTTGTCTGCACGCGGTGGTTCGGGCCTCGGGGGCGCGTCGTCGTTGTCCTCCTCCTTCGCCCCCGCCTCGGCCGCAACAGCGTCCACGAGCGCTGGGGGTGCATGGGCAGGTCCAGGTACAGCTGGCTCTGGCGCTGGCGGAGGCGCATGCGCAGTTCGGAGGACCCCTGCTTGATGTCTCTTGATCCTGTGCAGGCTGGCGAACTTTGGAAAGCAATGTGATACGAGACCGTGGCAAGCTTCCAACGCTGCCAACTCGCCAATCGCAGCTTTAACGTTCTTCAAGTTGGTCCTTCCGTACACACTGTACACATGAGGCGCGAATACGTTCACGTCACGATCGCCGTGCCAATGAATCGCCCCAACGCCCTCCTGTGTACCTCCGTACCTGGATCGGGCCATACATCGATGCCGGTGTGGTCAGTCCAATCTCCATTCGGCAGCGCATAGGCGTACAAGGTACGAACCAACTGATTCCCAGCCCCACGTAAACAGAGCGACGCCACTTGTCGCTTGAAAGCCTTCACGTAGTCTGGCGGGGGGGCCGAGCCTCGGCCGTATCTTCTCAGTGATTGTTTCGATCATTATCTTCTGCCATTGTCTCAAGCACGCGCTGTTACCGATACACAATGCAAAGTTTATCTGTGCAGAGATGATCGGCTCGACGACTTGGTAACTCTCCTTGAAGGCATTGTACGATATATGTGGATGGCAGTGCATTCCATCTGATATCCACCCGTCCGAACCGGTTCGTTTCAAGTACGCCACAAGACCCCGCTCGAAGCGGATGTTTGAATTCGCAGAGTCGTGGCAGTGGCACCATTCCCGTGATTCAGTCTGGAATGCATCTGGAACGTTCCCAACTGATCGTTTTCGAAGTTCAGCTTCTAACAAACACTCTGCAGTAGTGCGCTCAACCAACTGTGGTAAATTCAGCGTGCTGCCCATGATGGTCAAGAATTGGGAAGCTCCGTCAACGCAGATGAGCATGCCATAGTCAGAGACATATTGGACAATCTTACCAGAACAACGCGTTGCAGTCTTCAGCATGCTGAGCGGCAGCGGGAGGTGGTGCATGCATGCAATTGAGCGATCAGTCGGGTCCGACACTCCAGTTCTTTGAGAGGCGCTGTCAGCCATTCCAACTTTCCTAGTTAGCGGTATGGGGGTGTCGTCCTGACGGTACCTATCATTGTATTCGATGAGGGCCTCCGTGTTCGGGAACGCACCCAAGAGAGAATGTCCCAAGCATTGCCGAAATACTCGATCGAAGTACAGTCCTGGAGTTAGGCTTTTTTAGCAGCCCTGTACAAAGCAAGTGCGGCAGTACCGACCTTCCCCGTCGCCCTCATCCCCCTGCTCCCTGACCACCATGCCACATCGCCCCCCTCCCGTCATCACGATCCGTGCCTCTCCCCCATCGTCCTCTTTGTGCTCCACTGTGTTTGATCCCTCCCCGTCACCCCGCCCACCTGGACTACCCCCCAACCTCGCAGACCCACCCCCTCTTCTTCTTCAACTACCCCCCGCCCCGATCGAACCAACAAGGCAAGCGAGATTAACATCGGGGTCCTGCCACCGCCGCCGCCTTCAGCGTGGGGCCCACCTCCTTCGGCGAAGTGCCAGTCAACTCCACGATGGCGGTCTTGTTGATAATTCGGGAGCCGCTCGACTGCAAGAGGCATCGCGATGTCAAATTGAAACACGCAGCATCGGCATGAACGGACCGACCATCTCGAACAGCTGCAAAACAAGCCTTCACTAGATCACAGAACCAATCTGCCAAGGGCCACAAACTGCTGGGGCTGGCCGACGATTTCCTTCTAGATGCTAACGTGGCCGTGCGTTCTGAAAACGGTGGCAATGAAAAACTGGACAGCCGATGGACGGTGCGCTTCGTCCTCTTCCTCGGTGGCTGTTCCTCCCCTGGGCATGCCGACAACCATGGCATTCGTATGTGGTCGCCCTTCCTGAAAAAAGGCGAGGTGGCCGACAACACCCAATAACTTGACAAAAACAGATGCGAGTGGGCACGCATGACAAACACGTGTGCGCGCCGTGCTAACTCTTGCGAACCGTTGCCCCACCCACTGTACCTGCTCACCTTTCTGGAGCGTAGCAAATCAAGCCACGGTGAACCGACCGACCGTCCCAAGGAAAAAGAAGAAGGAGGAGGGGGAGGGACGAGGGGACGTTACAGAGACCGACGATGACGACACATGGAGGTGGACCATAGATGAAAGCGAAGGAGGAGAAGGAGGAAGTTTCGGAGCTGAGGAGGAGGAGAGTTTTAGATAGACTCTGGAAGCGCACGGCTTGCTCAATCGCAAGAAGATAAAAGACAGGCGCTGTGATGCAGGGTCTGTTTTTCCAAACGGGTGAGCCTTATGTGTAAACCCTTAAAAAGTATGTTTTGTGTTTGTGCTACGACTGTTGATGGTGGTTTTAAGATTGGTGCCCTTAGTGGGGCCAGCCGAACATGGAGCTCGGGTTCCGACGGGGCTCTCTGTTGTCCTTCCATGGTTGTTCCTCGAACACTCCTCGTGCACCCAGGCGCGGTAGGGGCCAAAAGTCAAGGAAGGACAAGAAACACACCGCCACCCCCAGATCTGGCGTTTGAAGGAATCTTGGGCGCTTATCTGGCCTTCATTCTGGTAGGAGCTAGGCTGTATCCCCGATCCTCGATCGGAGCACGAGGTGCCCAAGGGGGAGCTCCTCCCCGGCGGCGCGCCAGGTGCTGTTTTCGCCTGGGGCCGACGGGGACCCCGAGGGCGCCAACCAGGACCATGGGATGGCGCGGGCCTCGGAGCCGCGGGGCCCACTGCGATCCGATCGCTCCAGTTCCATACCGACAGCGGATGCGCATGTGCATTGAAATGATAGAACACCAAGACGGACTACCATGATTTTAACATTTGTTCGCGGGGGGGGCGCGCATATATGGCCCGCAGGATGTCATGCGAGGAATTCTTACAAAAAGTAGCTACACCAACGCATGCGCACCGCATGGTATCATTGGAAGGGGCTGACCAGGGGGTACCGCTCCCGGTTGGGCTGAGATGACACAGTCGTGTATTATATAATATGAAAGACGAGGCATAATAAGTACACAGAAAAACCACAGAAGTGGTTTGGTAAGTCCATGTTGGGCATGCGGGTCGACTACTTCGTTTCGTGGGAAATTTGAATGTTTGTGGTACAATAGATGTGATGAGATCCTTGACAGGCAATCGACGTCGTGCAATCGACGGGGTGCGATTTACGTGTTGCAATTCATGTCTGAACATATCAAAGTCGTTCGCGGACATGATCGAGCAAGCATCCATTCCCTCACCCAGAACTTGTTACCATAATCAAATTGGCGTTATGATGTGAATTTTCTCGTCATGCAGATCAGTGACACGGGCGGACGAGTAATGATGGCGACGACGACGATAATAATGATAATGATAATGATAATGATGATGATGATGATGATGATGATGATGATGATGATGATGATGGTGGCGACGCTGATGACGTGGACGACGACAACGACGACGATGATGTCGACGGTGGTGGTGATGACGTCGACAATGATCGAGATGATGGTGATGACAATGGCAACCGTTGTTTGGGGGCTTTCGCTTTTGTTCGGCGACCGGTGTTTTTTATGCAGTGGTCTTTTTTTCGGTGGCCTTCGTTTTTTGTTTGGCCGTCTTCGTTCGTTGTTTGATTGCGTTAGTTGTTGTTCGGCCGCCTTCGTTTTTTCGTCGACCTTTGTTTTTTCGGCAGCCTTCGCGTTTGGTGGCGGCTTTTTTTTGTTCGGCGGCCTTCATTTCTTCCTGCGGCCTTCGTTTTGTTTGGCGGCCTTCGTTGGGTTCGGTATGTTTTGTTATCAGCGGCCATCGCGTTTCTCGGCGGCCATCGCTTTCGTCGGCGTCTTTCGTGTGGTGTTGTTTGTGTTTGTTTATTTGCTTGTTGTCGTTGCTGCCTTTGTTCATTTGCGGCGGTTTTCGCTTTTTTTTTCGGCGACCTTAGCTTTGCGCGGCGGCCTTCGCTTATGTACGTCGACCTTCGTTTTTTCCGTCGGCCTTCGTTTTTGTTCGGCGGCCTTCGCTCTTTTCGGCGGCTGTCGTTGTTTGTTGGAGGCCTTCACGTTGTTCGGTTGCCTTCGCTTATTTCGGCGGCCTTCGTTTTTGTTCGGTGGCCTCCGCTTTTTTCGGTGGCCTCCACTTTTTGTCGCTGGCCGTCGTTCTTGTTCGGCGTTTTTTGTTGTCGGCGGTTTTCGTTTTTGTTCGGCGGCCCTCGCTTTTTTTGGCGACCTTCTTTTTTTTTCCGGCGCCTTTGCTTTGTTCGGCGGCCTTTGTCATTTCTCGGCGGTTTTCGTTTTTGTTCGGTGGCTTTCGCTTTGTCTCGGCGGCTTTTTGTTTTTTCATCGGCGGTCGTTTTTGTTCGGCGGCCGTCGCGTTTCTTCGGCGGCTTTTGTTTTATTGTTCGGCGAACTTCGCTTTTGTTCGGCAGCTTTCGTTTTTTGTCGGCGTTTCTCGTTCTTTTTGGCTGCGTTTTTTTGTTCGGCGGCCTTCAACGTTTGTCGGTGGCCTTCGCTTTTTGTTCGGCGTCCTTCGCTTTTTCCCCCGGCCTTCGCTTTTTCCGGCGGCAGTCTTTTTTTTGTTGCGGTGTTCGTTTTTTTCGGCGGTGTTTTTTTTCGGCGGCCTGCGTTTATTCGGCGGCCTTCGCTTTGTTTCGGTTGCCCTTCGTTTTTTTCGGCGCCCTTCGTTTTTTTCGGCGGCCTTCATTCTTTTCGGCGGTCTTCTCTTTCTTTTGGCGGCCTTCGATTTTCTCGGCGGCTGTCATTTTTTCCGGCGGCATTCGCGTCTTTTCGGCGGCCTGCGTTTTTGTCGACGCCCTTCGCATTTTGTTCGGCGTTCATTGTTTTTGTCGTCGCCCTTCGTTTTTTTCGGCGGCATTGGCTTTTTTTCCAGCGCCCTTCGCTTTTGTCGGCTGCCTTCATTTTTGTTTCGGTGGTGTTCGTTTTTTGTCGGTGGCCTTTGGTTTTCGGTGCCCTGCGTTTTTTCGGTTGCGTTCATTTTTTTTTTGGCGGCCTTCGTTTGTTGCGGCAGCCTTCGTTTTGTTATGCGGCCTTCGCAATTTCCCGGCCACTTTCGCTTTTTGCGTCGGTTGCCTTCGGTGTTGTTCGGGGCCCTTCGTTTTGTTCGGCGCTCTTGGCTTTTGTTCGGCGGCCTTCGCTTTCGTTTAGGCGCCTTTCGCATCAGCCCTGTTTTTGTTGTTTCTTGCGCCCTTCGCTTGTTTCATCGGTCATCGTGTTTTTCGGCGGCCATCTTATTTTTGTTCAGCTGACTTCGTTGTTGTTCGGCGCCCTTCGCTGTTGTTCAGCGCCCATCGCTTTTTTTCACGGCGCCCGTTGTGTTTGTTCGGCGCCCTTCGCTTTTTGCGGTGCCCATCGTTTTTTGTCCGCGCTCTTGAGTTTATTTCTGCTCTCTTCGTGTTTTGTCGGCGTTCTTTGGTTGTTTCGTTATGTTTTCAATTGTCGTTGTTCCCCCGCCCCCCTTTTTGCCTGTACCCTCCCGTTCCCTGTCTGTGTTCGCTTTCCTCCGCCCCCTTTCGTTTTGCCTTTCTTTTATCTTTCGCTTCCGCCCTGTTTTATTTAGTCTTTCTTCGGCCCCTTATTTGGCGCCCACATGTTTCCTCCCTTTCGTTTTGGCTGGCCCCTCATGCGTTGACCCCCTCATGCTGGGGCATTGGCCCTTCATGCGTTGACCCCTCATGCCGGGGCTTCGGTTCCTCAAGCGCTGACCCGCTCATGATCGGGCCTTGGCTGGCCCCTCATGCGTTGACCCCCTCATGCTGGGGCATCTGCCCTGCATGCGTGAACCCCTCATGCCAGGGCTTCGGCCCCTCATGCCCTGACCCCTCATGCTGGGGCCTTAGCTGGCCCCTCATGCGTTGACCCCCTCATGCTGGAGCATTGGCCCTGCATGCGTTGACCCCTCATGTTTGGGCTTCGACCCCTCATGCCCTGACCCCCCATGCTGGGGCCTTGCCTTTGGCTGGCCCCTCGTGCGTTGCCCCCCTCATGCTGGAGCATTGGCCGTTGATGCGTTGACCCCTCATGCCGGGGCTTCGGACCTTCATGCCCTGACCCCTCACGATGGGGCATTGGTTGGCCCCTCATGCGTTGACCCCCTCATGCTGGGGAATTGGCCCTGCATGCGTTGACCCCGCATTCCCGGGCTTCGGCCTCTCATGCCCTGACCCCTCATGCTGGGGCCTTGACTGGCCCCTCGTGCCCTGACCCACTCATGCTGGGGCATGGCCCCCTTCATGCGTTGACCCCTCATGCCAGGGCTTCGACCCCCCATGCTTTGACCCCTCATGCGGAGGCTTCGGCCCCTCATGCCCTGACCCCTCATGCTGGGGCCTTGGCTGACCCCTAATGCATTGACCTCTTCATGCTGGGGCATCGGTCCTTCATGCGTTGACCCCTCATGCGGGGGCTTCGGCCCCTCATGCCCTGACCCCTCACGCTGGGGCATTGGCTGGCCGCTCATGCGTTGATCCCCGTCATGCTGGGGCATTGGCCCTGCATGCGTTGACCCCTGATGCTGGGACTTCGGCCCCTCATGCCCTGACCCCTCAGGCTGGGGTCTTGGCTGGCCCCTCATGCGTTGACCCCCTCATGCTGGGGAATTGGCCCTGCATGCGTTAATCCCTCCTGCCGGGGCTGGGGCCGTGGCTGAGGCCGTGGCTGGCCCCTCGTGCGTTGACCCCCTCATGCTGGGGCATTGGCCCTGCATGCGTTGGTTGACCCCTCATGTCTGGGCTTCGACCCCTCATGCCCTGACCCGTCATGCTGGGCCTCAGCTGGCCTCTCATGCGTTGACCCCCGTCATGCTGGGGCATTGTTCCTTCATGCGTTAACCCCTCATGCCGAGGCTTCGGCCCCTCATGCCCTGACCCCTCATGCTGGAGCCTTGGCTGGCCCCTCATGCGTTGACCCCCTCATGCTGGGGCATTGGCCCTTCATGCGTTGACCCCTCATGCCGGGGCTTCGGTTCCTCATGCGCTGACCCGCTCATGATCGTGCCTTGGCTGGCCCCTCATGCGTTGACCCCCTCGTGCTGGAGCATTGGCCCTTGATGGATTGACCCCTCATGCCGGGGCTTCGGACCTTCATGCGTTGACCCCTCATGCTGGGGCCTCGGCTGGCCCCTCATGCGTTGACCCCCTCATGCTGGGGCATTGTTCATTCATGTGTTGACCCCTTGTCTTCCCGCATCAAATGCTACCCCTAACAGGGCAGGCCTCCCCGTGTGCTACACCTAACCCAGGTTGTCAACTCCTTTGTCCGCACGCGCTACCCTCACATTGGCATTCGTTGGCATGCATTGGCATGCTTTGGCATGCAGTGGCATGCAGTGGCATGCAGTGGCATGCGTTGGCATGCGTTGGCACGCATTGGCATGCGTCGGCGTGCACTGGTATGCACTGGCATGCGTTGGCATGCATTGTCATGCATTGGCATGCATTGGCATGCGTTGGCATGCATTGGCGTGAATTGGCATGCATTGGCTTGCGTTGGCCTGCGTTGGCATGCGTTGGCATGCGTTGGCATGCGCCGGCGTGCACTGGCATGCATTGGCATGCGTTGGCATGCGGTGGCATGTTTTTGCATGCGTTGGTATGCATTGGCATGCGTTGGCATGCGTTGGCATACACTGGCATGCGTCGGCATGCGTTGACATGCATTGGCATGCCTGACTTGCTTTGGCATGCATTGGCATGCGTTCGCATGCGTTCGCATTGACATGCATCGGCATGTGTTGGCATGCGTTGGCACGCTTTGGCATGCGTTGGTATTCGTTGGCATGCGTGGGCATGCGTTTGCACGCATTGGCACGAAAGGGTATGCGTTGGCATGCGTTGGCGTGCGTTGGCATGCATTGACATGCGTTGGCATGCATTGGCATGCGTTGGCATGCATTGTCATGCATTTGAATGCGTTGGCATGCGTTGACATGCATTGGCATGCTTTGGCATGCGTTGGCATTCCTTGGCATTCCTTGGCATGCGTTCTCATGCATTGGCATGCGGTGGCATGCAATGGCATGCATTGGCATGCAGTGGCATGCGCTGCTGCATTGGCATGCATTGGCATGCGTTGGCATGCTTTGGCATGCGTTTGAATGCATTGGCTTGCGTTGGCATGCACTGGCATGTGTTGGCATGCACTGGCATGCGTTGACATGCATTGGCAGCCCGTCCCGCGTGCTACCCTAAACCGGGCAGCCAATCCGTCGTTGTGGGGGGCTACTAGCCAGGGCAAGCCCTCGTTAGCAACCACAACTAGCAGGCTGCGATTTGGGGTGCAACCCAATCAGACCTGGCAGTTTGGCCAGTGATCCTCACATCCTTGCCCCTGCCCTCCGCATGCCAACCACGTCGGCACACCTCTCACACGTTTTGAGGCCCAATACGGAGCTCCACCGGAGGCCCCAGCGGCAGCGTCCGCATGGCGTGCCCGCGCCAGATCCAGCACACCCCTCACACGCTTCGTGGCCCCATGCGGACCTCCACCGAAAGCCCCAGCGGCAGCGCCCACATGGCGCCACAACGCCCACGTCGGCACGCACCCCATTCACACGCTTCTGGCACCATGAGGAACTCCACCGAAGGCCCCAGCGGCAGCGCCCGCATTGCGCACCCGCATGTTCGGCTCACCCCTCACGCGCTTCGGGGCCCCATGTGGAGCCCCGCCGAAAGCCCCAGCGGCAGCGCCCGCATGGCAGCGCCGCGCAAATGTCGGCACACGTTTCACACGCTTCGTGGCCCCATTGGGAGCTCCACCGAAAGACCCAGCGGCAGAGTCCGCATGGCGTATTCGGACCCGTTTCGGCACACCCTTCACACGTTTCGTGGCCCCATAGCGCAGTCCACCGAAGGCCCAGCGGCAGCGCCCGCATGGCGTACCCGCAGTTTGTTTGGCACGCCCCTCACACGCTTCGTGGCCTCCACCGACGGCCCCAGCGGCGGCGCCCGCATGGCGTACCCGCACCGAAGCCGGTTGACCCCTCATACGCTTCGTGGTTCCACCGAAGGTTTCAGCGACAGCGCCCGCATGGCGTACCCGCCCCCGTGTCAGCACACCCCTCACACGCTTCGTGACCCCATGCGGAGCTCCACCGCAAGCCCCAACGGCAGCGCCCGCATGGCGCACCCGCACCGAAGTCGGCTGACCCTTCACACGCTTCGTGGCCCCGTAGGGAACTCCACGGAAGCCCCCAGCAGCAGCGCCCACATGGAAGCGCCGCGCCCCAAGCGGCACACCATTAACACGCTTCGTGGAGCTCCACCGAGGGCCTCAGTGGCAGCGCCCGTTGCCGCGCCCATTTCGGCACGCCCCTCACACGTTGTTTGGCCCCATAGGGAACTCCATCCAAGGCCCCAGCGACAACGCCCGGATGGCACCGCCGCGCCCAAATCGGCGCGCAGTTTCACACGCGCCGTGGCCCCACAGTGACCACCACCGAAAGCCGCAGCGGCAGCGTCCGCATTGCAGCGCTGCGCCCGTTTCGGCACACGTTTCACACGCATTGTGGCCCCATTGGGAGCCCCACCGAAGCGGCGGCGCCCGCATGGCATCGCCGCACACATTTTGTCACACCTCACACACGCTTCGTGGCCCCATAGAAAGCTCTACACAAAACGATATTCACAACTGCGGCACTCACAACTGCATATGGTTGGGCCCGTCACCAGGAGTTGTTGATGACGTCGGCACAGTGGGCAATACACCATTTCCCGAGGGCCCCTTGAGGCCGAAAGCAACAGAAAGTTCCGCGTCAGGATTATCTGACCACGCGAAGAGATATGGGCATATACACATGCCAGGGCCCAGGATGGTTCTGGGCAGGCACGGTGGTGGTGCACATGTGCCTTCTGCTGATTTGTTCCCCGTCCTCGCCTTTATTGGCTGTAATCTGGACGTGGCAAACGAATGTCGGCCTGCACGTTTGCTGCCATCGATGTAACCTTGCAGTTTGCGGCGGAGGTCCAGTCTGCGATCACTTGTGAACTCTACCCCTTCGGCTCTACTCGAGGCTGGGGCATCGGACACCCTGCTGGAGTTCACTGGGCTGCAGACATCCTTCCAATTCTGAGCCCCAGTTTTTCAGAAGTATGACTTGCCGGGGTAGGGTTCACATTCGTGCGCCTGGCCTGAAAGCCGCGATCGCTCAACGATTGACGCGGAGTCAGACATCGAAGAAGGGCAAGATGAGACAACGGCGGACCCCCCCCGTGCCCCTCCTGGGTTTCATCCTGACCTGTTTCGAGGCAGGTCCAGCCGCGGTGACGGGAGGCTCATGGGAGTCCTACAAAAGGACGAGGAGCGCCCAGGAGAGGGCCGCCGTTGTCTGTCTTGGTCGTGGGTCAGCGGCGGGCCACTTGGGGGGGGAGGAGGATGAGCCTTCTCCGAAGGCGGCGGGGCTTCTCAGGAGCCCTCGCGCCTTCTGAGAAGTCTTGCAGATCCTCCCCGAAGCCAAGGACGGCGTATCAGAAGGCGCGAGGGCTTCGAATAAGCCCCGCCGCCTTTCAGAGGGCCTGCCCCTCGCAACCCCCTTGGGCGCGCCGCCGAGAGGAGAAGTTCCCTCAGCCAGGAGGGACACTGAGGACCATGAGGAGGAAGGAATAGGTGGAAGGGGGGAGGATGGGGATGGTGGAGCGATCGTCGTCGTCGTCGTCGTCGTCGTGGTCGTGGCCGTGGTCGTCGTCGTCGTCGTCGTCGTCGTCGTCGTCGTCGTCGTCGTGGTCGTCGTGGTCGTGGTCGTGGTCGTCGTCGTCGTCTCAGTCGTCATCGCAGTCATCGTCGTCGTCGTGGGAAAGATGGGGATGGTGGAGCGGCGGGGGGGGGAGGGAGGGCGCTCCTGGCCACGGCGAACCTCGGTCACGAAGGGGCCCCCCCCTGCGCTCGCCGCCGCGTGGGGGCCCCGGTCGCCCTGCCGCGCCTGCCGGCGACGTGCGGCCCCCGCGGGGCTCGCGGCGCGCCGCCCTCCTGGGAGGGCGCCGGGGTGCCGAGGCGCTGGCGCCCCTGCGGCCGCTCCACGAGCCGGGGCACCCGCTGACCCTCGCGCAGGCCGCGGGGAGGGGAGGAATCAAGCATCAGGAGGAGGACGAGGAGGAGGAGGAGGAGGAGGAGGAGGTTGGAGCGCCACAGCCCTCGGCTAATTAAGGGTTGTCTATGACGTTGAAGAACGGAGGAGGAGGAGGAGGAGGAGGAGGAGGAGGAGGAGGAGGAGGAGGAGAGGCCTGGGGGGCGGAGAGGAGCCCCACTCTGGGGCCCGGCGGCTGGGCTTCCCAGATGGGGTCCGAGCAGGTGGGGTCGGAGGGGCGCGCCGCATCGCGGATACATCGGCAATGCCGACGTCGCCGATGCACCGCCGACGTCGCCAACGCATCGCCCATGTACAGTCGACCCGCAAAGTAAGGATAGGCATCCTTCCCAAGGGTACCCTTGCATCCTTGCCTCCTGGGTCCATCCTTGGACACGTTCGTTGGTGGCGCCCCGCTCCTTATCGCGCATCCTTACTCAGCGGGTTGACTGTATCGCCGCTGCATCGCCGATGCATCGGCGATGCGGTGCGATCCTCCGACCCCATCTGCTCGGACCCCATTTTCGAGGCCTCGAGTTAAGGGGATCTGTACGAACACGACGACATCGTGACGGCCAGGTACCTCAGTGCCGCCGCTGGCCTCATAGGTCAGCAGCTCAGCTACACCACCGGGTTCATCCAGACGGGCGCCGCCGTAGCCAAAGACGGCTGGGATAGGCTCGAGGTGTTCGAGGATCGAGGGTGCTCGGACGTTTTCGTCGGTCCTCGGCGGGCTTCCAGTCTCGGGGTGTCTTCCAGCGGCTGCGCCTCACCGATGGCGTTCCAGGGGTGCCCGGATCGTCCCGAACGGCCGCCGGGGAGCTGATTTATGATCCGGAAACCAGGGGGCAACGCGAGGGGAGGATAAGCTCAGGAGAGAACGCATCGGGCCCCGATCGCCCATTCTTCGCCGATGGGGTCCTGATGGCCCACCCCGCCCAGGAGCGCGCGGATTTGCTATCGGGAGCTTCTCGCCGATCCATCGGCGATTTCTCGTCGATTCAACCTCGATGTTCCCCCCCCTGAGCCAATCCCCCCGATCGTTCCCCCTCAGGAGAGGAGATGGCCCACTCGGAGGAGGGCCAGTCGAGACAACGGCGGCCTTTCCGGGCGTTTTTCGTACTTTAGGGCCTGCAGGAGGCTTCTCGTCGCCACGGTTGGATCAGCATCGACAAGCAGGTCAGGATGAATCCCAGGAGGACTCCAGGGACTGAGTGGCAGGGAACGGTACGATCGAAATGGGTACGGAAAGAACGAGGGCGAAGACCGACAGATGTTCTTTTCGACTTCGAGCAGAAATCCTTGTCGGGCCACTTGAGAAAACAGGTCGCCTGCCCAACAGCAGCCGCTGCCCGTTTTGGACGGCATCTGTTGTTGGGCATCGTGCGTACCCATGTTCCCGTACCCATTTCGGGCGTGCCAGAGAACGGACGGGGGCGTCTGCCCCTCCAGAATCGAGGCCCTGACGCGTTCGCAACCTTTCCCGATGCGCCCTCGCGGCCACGGCGGGATCCGCGTCGAAATCTTGAGACAAGGACTCGCCGCAGGAGGGTTCCAGGGGTCGACCTTGAGACCCAGATCTCCAATATCGAATGGCCTTCGGCCCATCCCGCCAGCCTGGGTTGTGGGTATGAAGCCCATTGGATGTTCGTTCGGATCTCGTGGGGAGCCTCTCGGGGGCCTCTTGAAGGCAGTTTTGACGCCTCTTGGGGGCCGTTTGGGGGCCTCTTGGGGCCTCTGTTGGGCCTTTCCGTGCTGCATGAGCCTCGGGGCACTCCGTTTCGTGCCAGAGGCACGGTGGCGGATCTTGAACCAGAAGCTGACACAGAGCTGCCCCTCGATTTTCTGGCTTCCAGGGGCCGCTTCCCAGCCCCATGGCCTTCGAGCGACCTCGGGCGAAGCAGCTGGCCCCCGGGGGAGGGCCCTCCTCTTCGGGGCTGGTGGATGCAGATTGCTCTGAGCCTGTGCCTCAGTTCCAGCAACGTTAATAATAAGTTTGTAGTATTTAGATTATACCAAGCCTGTTGGTTGTGAGTACCTAACATAGAAACATACATCATAATGATAACCTGGGGGGGAGGGGCTCCATCTCTGGAAGCTTCGGGGGCCCCTGGAGGCCTGGCCCCTGCGGCTCGAGCCGCGCCCCCCCCCCTCCGAGGCCCGCCCCCCGCCCTGGAGCCGCGAGGACGTCGGGAGGCTCGCCGCCGGGGAGGGCCCCCGCGGTGCTCCTCAGGAGCTCGGTGGTTCCCGTCTGCAGCAGGGCTGAACCTAAACGGTGTTTTTCGTTTTCATGCTGTTTTCTTCTCCCCTCGCTTTTGTCTCGAATCCGCCTTCACCGCAAAACGAAGTCGAAACGAAAACGGCCCACGGAATCGCCAAAACAGCGTTTAGGTCCAGCCTTGGTTTGCAGGATGCCCGATGCCTGTTGCAGGACCCTTGGGCGGCCGCCTGCTCTGGGGCGCCACGTCGGCGATGCCCACCGAGGGGCCCCGAGCCACGCCCCCGCGAGCGTCCATGCTCCATCTGCGAGGGAGCCCGAGAGCCTCTCGATCTCGGACTCTCGATCCTCGAATTTCGAAGACGACGATGGCAACGACGACGACGGCAACGAGGCAACGACGACGACGACGACGACGACGACGACGACGACGACGACGGCAACAAGGCAACGACCGACGACGGCGACGACGGCGACGACGACGACGACGCCGACGACGACGACGACGGCGGCGACGGCGGCGGCGACGACGGCGGCGACGGCGGCGGCGACGGCGGCGGCGACGGCGGCGGCGACGACGACGACGGCAACGACGGCAACGACGACAACGGCGGCGCCCAGCGCTCCCGAGACAGGTCAGGAAGCTCCTGGGGCCGTTCTCGGAGGAGCCGGTGGCCGGCTAAGGCGAGCGACCGTGCGCCGCCGCTCGCCATGGAGGAGTCTAGGCGGTTCGAGTCGCTTCTCCGTTGTCGGTGGTTCTCGGTGGCTCGCCGGCCTCGGGATGCGTTCCAGCGGCTACGCTTCGCTGAGAGCTGAGTTATGATTCTTCACACAACGGAGCAATGTTAGGAGAGGAGAGGCTGAGGGAGGTATGCATCGACCCCTGATCGCCCGTTTGTCGCCGATAGGGGCCCGCTAGCCCACCCCGCCCAGGAGCGTTCGGATGTGCGCTCGGGGAATGATCGCCGACTTGTCGGCGATGTGTCGCCGATTCCCTGTCGATGTTGCCCCCCCCTGGGCATGTACCCCCCCCCCTGACGTTCCCTCTCGAGGAAACGAGTCTTGAGGGAAATGGATTCTGGAGGCTTTCGCCGTTTTGGGCCTCCCCGGGTCCTCCACGGGGCCCGAGGCCGTCACGACAACGACAACGGGGCAGTGTGAGAAGCTGATCCCAGGGGAGCTCCCCCCAGGTCCAAGACCCGTTTCCTCCAGGACGCGCGTCCTTCTTGCTGAGCCGCCGTCACCGCCGCCGGTGTCGTCGTCGACACGCTGTCGTTGTCGCTGCCTGTGGCGCGCAGAGCACGCTCGTGGCGGCGCCTCAGGCGCCGCCAGGGGGGGGGTCTAGCGCCGATCCAAGACATCCACGTGGAGCTCCGCAAGTTTATGTTTATGCCGCTGTTTGTGTTTTTCCTTGCTCGCACCACGCATGAGGGGAACGCAAGGGGGAGGGAGAGGTGAGGAATCGGGGGCCCTTTCCGACTCCAAAACCTTCGACGATAGATTATGTTTTATCCTGGCGTTCCTCTTCGATTTCGGCCTCTGGGGCCCGGTATCGGACCCCAGGATCATCAAATTCTGATGCAGGGCGAAGAATTGTTCGCTGGGAAGGGTCGTGTCTATGGGGGGCGCGTGTTGAAAAGACACATCGCGGGATGGTTGGGCTCATTTTCCCTGTCTCAGAGAGTACCGAAGAGTTGGAAGCCGTCGCGGTCTCGACCAGAACGGTTGCGAAGACAATGCGCGCATCGCGAGGCGCGAGGCGAGAATGCAGATGCGCGAATGTAGGTGAATTAGGTCAGTAGTCGACCTCATGCGGAGGGAAACTCGCTTTTGCCGCCGAATCAAGAGTTTGTGTCACGTCTGATGTTGGTTCAGCCTCTTGGCGAGGTGTTGCTAGAGAAATCTAGGTGGTGAGATGTCTCAGGTTTTCACGTTGAGGCTACGATGTGCAAGCCGTTGATTACGACGCAGCTGAATTCGATAATCATCCTTTTGCTCTCCTCCTACTTCGTCCACCCCGAGAGGCAGCGAAAGTGATGTTGGGCGAGGACTTCGTCGCAGACGTGAGGGACAAGCATCAGCAGCAGCAGTTGGGAGTCAGCTGAGACCTCGCCAGGAGTCCCGTGGCCTCCTGAATGAGTCAGCTGAGACCTCGCCAGGAGTCTGGTGGCCTCCCGAATGGGGCCAGAGCACACGGGGTCAGAGAGCCGCATCGCAGAAGCTTTCCTTGGCGGATTGACTTCCAATCCTGGCGTTCCTGCTCAGCTTCGGCCACCGTTGGGCCGTGTGCTCGGGGCCCCCAGGGCCATCGAAGCAACGATCTCAGGATCCGAAAGCCCGGTCGACTCTGCCTCCCGAGCCCCGCCGAGTGCGGACGCGCGGGCGGCCCGCGGACGGCCGCGAGCGCAACCTGCCGCCTCGGCCGCCGACGCCTACTCCTGAACTGTTTGAGAGAGGCGGCGGCGCCGGCGAGCGCAGGCGCGAGGGTCGGTACCAGCGAGGCGCCAGGCACGGGGCGCAGAGGGCGACTGGAAGAGGAGAGAGGGCGGCCGCGGCCCCTCCTTGCCGAAGTGCCCGGGAGATGTCCCGGAGGCGTCCAGCGCGAAGGGGCGGCGAGCTCCCCGGGGCCCACGGGCTGAGAAGCTTCGGCGTCGGAGGTCTGGGTCGGCGAGGCTGCGCGACGTGTCACCGAGGCGCAGGCGATGCGGTGCGCTCCTCGGGCCCCGCGGGGGCGAGTCGAACATATCTTCGGATCTCAGACGGGGTCCGAGTAGGCGGGGTCGGGGGATGGTGTCGCATCGCCGATGCATCGTCGATGCGGCTCGTTGTGGAGCCCGACTTTCTCCACACCCGCGTAGACGATGCATCGCCGATGCATCGGTGATGCATCGACGATTCTACTCCAACCCCATCTGGAAGGCCTCTGACAGAACAGGGTCGACGGCGCGGAGTCTCGCGCGCAGGATGACCGCGCAAGGTCGCACGAAATCGCCCTTGTTCAAAGTTGCGGTGTGCCGCGTTGGCGGCCTGTGCGAGCCACCGCGTTAGGCCGCCACGTCGTCGCGCTTAAGACCCCCCGCCTTCTCGTCGTGCGCCGCGCGAGGAGAATCGCGAGTCGCGTGTCGCGGCCTGGGCCGCAAATGTGGCCTTCTCTGGGTCTTGGGCGATTGCGAGAGGGCCGCGAAGGATAACCGCGCGATCGCGCATTACGCGGCGCGACCCGCGAAGCCGGCTGACCCAAGGCACCAGCAGCGACCCCAGCGGGGCAGGGTTCATTTCGATGGTCGATCCGATTCGATATTGAAGTCGGCCAGTCCAACACTTTGTTTGAGATACATTTTAATCAGTTTTGTTTTCGATATTCCGACGATCCGTCGTGGCTCAGTGTTTGCATGGCGATGTTGTGGACTTGGGCGTTGTCGGCTTGATTCGAGTTCGATTCCGCGCCGATGCAGCCCGATCCGACGCACATTTCGATCCGATTCGATGTTCTGATTCAATGTTGATTGATCTTGCGCGGGGGGGTCCCCTATGACGAATGAACAACACGCACCAGTAACCATAGGGGGAGTCGAAGGGAGGAGGACTGGCTATGGGTATGGTTACGGGTTGTCGGACCCCTGGGGGAGGCTCCAGTTCGAGCGGGGACCCCGGCAACACGCACCCATAGCCTCCTCCGTCCCCCCTATGGGTACGGCCGGACCGAGGTATATGATTGAGGTCGTCTGGGAGAGGGTACCCCAATGTTCTTCTGACTAGTTGCATGGCCTTGTGCAGCCTGAGGATGGGCACCCTGAAGGATGGTTCTTCTGTCCCAGCGGAGGGTCCATGTTCTTGAAGGATGTTCTTTTGTCCCTGCTCCGACTGTATGGGTGTGTGATGTTCGTTCGTCAGCCCCGTCGGGGAGGCTCCAGTTCGAGCGGGGACCCCCATCTGGCAACAAACACCCGTAGCCCCCTCCGTCCCCGATGGGTGGACGGGTGTGTGGTGTTAGTTCGTCAGTCCGCGTGCTCTGGTCCCGTTGGGGGGGGGGCATCTCGGGCGCAACATGCCTGCGCGCGTGGCCCGCGCCGGCCGCGGCTCCTCGCTGGGACTCGTCTCTTGGAGGCGTCTGCCGGTGCGGAGAAGAAGCCCTTCCCTTTGTTGGGTGGGGGGAGCGATACATGGGGGGGAGGCCCCCTCTACAGGGCCTAAAGGAGCCCCTTTCGGCAGCCTTCGCTGCCACACCCCATGTATCGCCCCCCCCATTCCGCACCCTCCACATTCCCTTCGCACAGGCGCGCACTGGCCTCCTCCCCAGTTCTCTCATGCTCCCTCCTCCTCGTCTGACTCCTCCTTCTCCGCGGCCGCGCGTTCCTTGGCGTTCTACGCGAGGCCCAGGGCACAGAGGTTGCCGCTGAAGAGTCCAGGTTTCGGCGGGAAAATCCGAACCCTGCCCTCGCCGATCAACGGTTCAGGCAACTCGATGGGCGGCGGGGGTAGGGTTCGGAATTCGCCGAACGCGTGGCGAAATCCGAACCCTACCCCTGGCTCCCATCGATTCGGGAGAATAGATGGTTGGTGTGGGCGGGACTCGGATGTCGCCACCCACTGTTCGAGGGCCGAGGTTTGGGATGTGCTTTGCCCTCCTTCTGCCTCCGGAGGGGATTCTCGTCGCAACGGCTGGCTCCGCCTGGAACTCCCGGCCAGAGCGCACCCCCAGAGAAGTCGGCTTTGGAGGAGGGTAGCGTGGAAGCACCGGGACAACTAGAAAACAAGACACGGTGAGAAAATTGTCCCCGGGGAGGGGTCGGGGCGTTCGGAGGCCGTGCATTGGAACAAAAGCGAGATCGTGGTCCAGCATGCGTAAGAGCGCGCATGCATAATGATGTCGTCCAGTCTCGATTTTCGCGGAGCCCCTCTCCTCTCAGCGGACGAATAACGGTGTGATCCAACAGTTCATCCGCCATCGTGTACGCTTGTCTGGCGGACGGTTGGAGAGTTGCCGCCTGAGCCGCCGCGGGCGTATAATTTTGTCCAGCCGTCCTGGGGCAGGCGTCCCCGACGGAGATTGATAGGTCCCAGGTCGTGTCGCTCGAGGGTGTTGTGTGTGTGTGGGTGTGTGGGTGTGGGTGTGTGGGTCTTCCGCCCTTTCTCTGCAAATTCAAGCTGTGCGCGTCCCGCTTAGCTTTCAGCGGAAGAGGTTCGCTCTCGCCCTGCAGATAAAAAAAAAGTGTGGGTGCGTGTGGGTGCGTGTGGGTGCGTGTGAGTGCGTGTAAGTATAAGTGTAAGTGTAAGTGTAAGTGTAAGTGTAAGCGTAAGTGTAAGTGTAAGTGTAAGTGTAAGTGTAAGTGTGTGTGTGTGTGTGCGTCTGCGGGTGCGTGTGCGTGTGCGTGTGTGTGTGTGGTGTGTATGTGTGTGTGGGTGTGTGTGTGTGGGTGTGTGTGTGTGTGTTGGTGTGTGTGTGTTGGTGTGTGTGTGTGATTGTGTGTGTGCGTGTGTGTGTGCGTGTGTGTGTGTGTGTGTGTGTGTTTGTGTGTTGTGTGTGTCTGTGTTTGTGTGTGTGTGCGCGGGTGTGTGTGTGTGTGTGCGGGTTTGCGTGTGTGTGTGTGAATGTGTGTGTGTGTGGGTGCGTGTGTGTGTGTGTGTGTGGGTGTGTGTGTGGCTGTGTGTGTGTCTGTGTGTGTGTGTGCGTGTGGGTGTG